CTATATATTCCTATGTAAAACTTTGGTCGGCAATTTAGGGCCCACCCTAGCCCCGGGGGTCATGATTTGAACAAACTTGAATCTACACTACCTGAGGATGATTCCACATGAGTTTCATCTTTCCTGGCCCAGTGGTTCTTAAGAAGAAGATTTTTAAAGAATTTTCCTATATATTCCTATGTAAAACTTTGGTCGGCCATTTTGGCCCCACCCTAGCCCCGGGGGTCATGATTTGAACAAACTTGAATCTACACTACCTGAGGATGATTCCACATGAGTTTCATCTTTCCTGGCCCAGTGGTTCTTGAGAAGCAGATTTTTTAAAAATGCTATTAATTTTTCACTAATTCATAATTATCTCCCCTTGGAAGAGGGCGTGGCCCTTCAAGTGAACAATCTTGAATCCCCTTCACCCAGGGATACTTTGTGCCAAGTTTGGTTGAAATTGGCCCAGTGGTTCTTGAGAAGAAGATGAAAATGTGAAAAGTTTACGACAACGACAACAACGCCAACAACGACAACGACAACGACAGACGACGGACAAATTTTGATCAGAAAAGCTCACTTGAGCCTTCGGCTCAGGTGAGCTAAAAATATAGATTAGATCCAGCATCAGAAGCTAGCCTGGAGGTGTGCATCCTTGGATGTATCTTTTGTGCGAGTTTGGTCAACATAATACTCATAGTTATGAAACACACTAGAATCATCTTCCATGGGGCATAGAAATACTAGTACTTCAAAAGAAAATTACACCAAAAACTTTAACCTGGGACACCGACCACAAATCCAAGGGCATTACATAAGCTCCCATAACTTCATTGAGGTGAGCTAAAAATTATGTTAATATTTAACATGTTTAAGTTATTACAACATGATAAAGAGTCACACGAGTCATTATGAAAATTTATTTCAGTATGCAAGCAAAAAATCCAAATGATGTGTCCATTATATTTCTACACTGTAATTACTTCTAAATAAAACATAAATTAGAACTGTCCAAACGGGACAAAATACCCCCCGCTGGGTTTTTCAGAAGTCAGTTTTTCCATAAGAGAGATATGTATCAAACATGAATTATGAAATTTTCCTTCCAGTGACCTTGAAATTCCCCAAATGACCTTGGGTCAAGGTCATGACACACCCTTGGGTCATGGGCAATCTTTGTGTGAAATGAGAACCTACCAAGTTTACCAATAAGAAAGATATGGACCGGACATGAATTATGACATTTTCCTTCCAGTGACCTTGAACCTCCCCAAATGACCTTGGGTCAAGGTCATGACACACCCTTATGTCATGGGCAATCTTTGTGTGGCCCTCCATAAGAAAGATATGGACCGGACATGATTGCACAGACAGACGGACAGACGGAGAAGGTGATTCCTATATACCCCCCAAACTTCATTTGCGGGGGGTATAATTAATGAATCTTTGTCTAACAATGTGCATGAAATGATCCAAACATGATTTTTATGGGTATGGCAATAAAAATTCTAATAAGGTTATGATGTTCTAATTTTTTGTTCCAACACATAGCCTACCCTGTCCCAACCTACTCTACTCTACTCTCCCTCCCCAAAACATCAGTGGCCCTGTTCACAAAAAAAATCTTACGACTAAAACAAAAATTAACAAGAGGCCCAGGGGCCACAGCGCTCACCTGAGCACATCAGGCTTGAATTTACTCCCCCCCCCCCACTCAAGGCATTAATCATTTGAACAAACTAGAATCTACACTACCTGAGGATGATTCCATATAAATATCACAAATCATAGCTTTGAAGTACTTGAAAAGAAGATTTTAAAAGGTTTCCCTATATATCCCTATGTAAAACTTGGGTCAGCCATTTTGGCCCCACCCTAGCCCTGGGGGTCACGATTTGAACAAACTTGAATCTACACTACCTGAGGATGATTCCACATGAGTTTCATCTCTCCTGGCCCAGTGGTTCTTGAGAAAAAGATTTTTAAAGATTTTTCCTATATATTCCTATGTAAAACTTGGGTCGGCCATTTTGGCCCCACCCTTGTTCCAGGGGTCATGATTTATACAAACTTGAATCTACACTACCTGAGGATGATTCCACATGAGTTTCACCTCTCCTGGCCCAGTGGTTCTTGAGAAGAAGATTTTTAAAGATTTTTCCTATATATTCCTATGTAAAACTTGGGTCAGCCATTTTGGCCCCATCCTTGCCCCGGGGGGTCATGATTTGAACAAACTTGAATCTACACTACCTGAGGATGATTCCACATGAGTTTCATCTTTCCTGGTCCAGTGGTTCTGGAGAAGAAGATTTTTAAAGATTTTTCCTATATAATTCCTCTGTAAAACTTGGGTCGGCCATTTTGGCCCCACCCTAGCCCCGGGGGTCATGATTTGAACAAACTTGAATCCACACTTTAGTCTACCTGATGATGATTCCACATGAGTTTCATCTTTCCTGGCCCAGTGGTACTGGAGAAGAAGATTTTTAAAGATTTTTCCTATATATTCCTATGTAAAACTTGGGTCGGCCATTTTGGCCCCACCCTTGCCCTGGGGGTCATGATTTGAACAAACTTGAATCTACATTACCTGAGGATGCTTCCACATGAGTTTCATTTTTCCTGGCCCAGCGGTTCTGGAGAAGCAGATTTTTTAAAAATGCCATAAATTTTTCACAAATTCATAATTATCTCCCCTTGGAAGGGGGCGTGGCCCTTCATTTGAACAAATTTGATTCCCCTTCACCCAAGGATACTTTGTGCCAAGTTTGGTTGAAATTGGCCCAGTGGTTCTTGAGAAGAAGATGAAAATGTGAAAAGTTTACGCCGACGACGCCGACAACGCCGACGACGACGACGACAGACAACGGACAAATTTTGATCAGAAAAGCTCACTTGAGCCTTCGGCTCAGGTGAGCTAAAAACCATTCGCCAACAAGCATCTACATTATAGTAGATCACAAAAACTCTTACTTTTTCATTATTTAAACAGCACTGTAAATAACATCTACGAAAAAATAATATGTCTCTATTACACAAAATCTTACAGAAGTATGAAATTTTTATCTTAGTCATAAGAGTTTTTGTCAAAATGGCCACAGCTGACAAGGCTCAAGAATTCTTGGCCTTACAATGTGCAAAATATTAATATCCAGATATATATTGAATAAAATTCTAAAATGATCCTGATGCCCTAATTTACAATGAACTTTACAGTGAAGACACACTTTTTCTCAAAAGCTGCATTATTTATCATAAGATTTGATAATCCAAGGTCTCACAATGAAAAAGATATAGTATGACCTGGACATACCTAAATTAACAATAAAATTCCAAATTCATGTTAACACACTTTTGCTTTGTTTGCAGGTTAACATCAGATGGGGTGTCATATTTTTTTAAATGTGGACAGAACACTTTGGAGCTAAAAATGCTATAAACTGAATAAACCTTTCCCTCCACATGAGTTATCTGACATAATTCAATAGGATTTAACGTCTCATATAATGTGCAAGAAAAGAAAATCATTTGGAAAGATTTTCACATATTTTTAGCAGGTACAGTGACACAGATCATTAGAATTATCTTATTTTAATAGACTTGTGTACCAGAATTTTAAGAAAAATTTGGGAAAATTTCACCCACTTTCTGATCTTAATTAATCATAACATAATTATCATTCACTTGAATTTTAATATGTCCCACTGTGTAATATAATTGTGTTCCAAGTTTAATTATCTGAAGGAGTAGCATTTAAAAAGAATTCAGTAACCATCAACATATCCAAATATGGAGAAAATTCTTGCCTACCTGCTAATCCTAATTAAGGCCTGACTCTGAGGACAGAAACCCTAGATGGGCTGACTTTTGACCTCAGTCTCACATCGGCAAAGGGAATGAATACTGTGAAATTACTAATTTTTGTGGGGGGTTTAATTTTCATTGGGTACGTAAGATTACGAGAAAGCGTAATATTACAAGTTATCGTAATATAAAACTTATATTACAATTTTTCGTAATGTAGTTAAATTACGAATACGCGTAATATAGCAGATGTAGGAGACTATATTACGAGTTTTCGTAATCTAAGACAAATTCAAGCATTGCAAGAAACTGAGTGGCGGGTTGGCAAAGTATGACGCTTAATACAAGATGTCACGGGGGATAACTTGTACGATTCTTACTGAGATTTGAATTCAGTGTATTTCAATAAGAACTGCACGAACAGTTGAATTATGAGACGAGGGTGTGATTTTTAGGGTAGACTTCGCAAGAAAAGTAGGGAGTTCGGGTGATATAGACCAATGCGACATGCTTAAGCGAATATTGAAATTTACTGGAAAATTGGTCTTATCCTTGGGAAAATTCCTATAAAAGAATAATAAAAGAAATTGTCCACTCACCCATCGCTGGCGGTACTTTCTTCTTGAATTTCCATGCTTTCTGATAGGCGTAACTGACCAAACTGACCGCGTGCTATCAGTAGCCGTGGAATCTGATATATTACTGACGTCATACTTTGCTACCCACCACTCAATTTCTTGGAATGCTTGAATTTGTCTTGGATTACGAAAACTCGTAATATAGTCTCTTACAATCTGCTATATTACGCGTATTCGTAATTTAACTACATTATGAAAAATTGTAATATAAGTTTTATATTACGATAATTTGTAATATTACGCTTTTTCGTAATCTTACGTTTTTTCGTAATATTACGAATTTTCGTATTGGACTGGACTGGGTATGGAGAGACATATGAATTTATGACCACCACAAAATGTGAAATTATATATGCTTTCCTACTAAACATTTTCCAACCATGAAATCAACCATCCACAAAGGAATAGTTTTTCGTCAACCTTGAAAAAATGACCCTACGTAATTATGAGATTAAACAGTAGCAGAAAAGTGAGAATGAGATCAAAATTGAGCTTGTCTAAGTTGTATGGCTCATGTATGGGACATGGACTTTTTATTTTTAATTTTTTAAATAATATACTTTCACTTACAGGATTCATCACTGTGCAGTCTGCTGCTGTCGTGTGGAAGGGATCAAATTTATCAGCACACACCACAAGATCAGGTAGAGGGTAGAGTCGAAGTCCGTTGTCATATGGCCAGTAAACAGGGCAGACATGGAGAGGCAGGGGGCATAAGTGACCCTGACTTATCAGAGTCTTGGCAAACTGTAGAAAAGAAATATATTGTTTTCATTTTGTGTAAATAAAAGTGTAATAGTCTTTCAAATAAAAAAAAAAACAACTCAGTAAATATATGTGCATTCAAGTTTTGTCTTTTTTTTATATTGAGGTCATATTCATGCTTGAAACTTTTAATCCAAATTTTAAATCTTTATGAACAGTAGATAACACAGGTAAGTTAAATATATGCTCCATGCATCTTTAAAAGTCAATACTCAGTTTATAATTGAAATTCCAACTCTTGCTCTTGACATTAATTTTTTTTCTTTAATTTCATTTTAAAAGATTCATGTTTTGAAATCCTTGCATTCACAACAGTTTGATTACTCATGTCTTAATGATTTATATTGTGCCATTAATTTGTTTCATCTTTGGAACACTAGACACCATATAGTCTGATATATATGCATTACTAAAAAAGAAATTGACGGATGTAATTCATCTGTTCCAATACCTTGACCTTAAGTATTTAACTTTTTTTGTACATTAAGCTATTTTTGTTCATTTTATTAGAATTTAAATGAATAGTATGCTTTGATAAAATTAATAAAAATCTATGTAAACTTTACAAGGTTAAAAGAGGAGAATGGTGTTTTTGTAAAACTGCATGGTCCCAAATAAAGATATTGTGTATCAAAATGTTTTGAAAATCCAAAACAGAATATTTTGGTTTTGATTATTAAAGGTTGGGGATAGTGTGCAAGACTCAGGATTAAAATGGTTTATCAACTCTGAAAAAAAGTTTTTGGATTGACATTACTATTTTTAACTCTTCGTAAAACAAGTCAAAGCTTAATAGAGAAGAGGCCAATGGACTTTAGAGCTCATCTGAGTGTCATTTAACAACTTTTTCATGATTGAATAAGTTCTTGTTTTAAAGACAAATTACTTTTGGATTGCAGAAACATTGATAGACTAAGTGGTCATGAAGGACATGGGTAATTTTTTTTATGTTCAAGCAATAATCCTTTTAATTCTAAGTCATCTTTAAGCTTGTGGCCGTATAAAACAAAAGGGTTTGTCTACTCCTAGTTTAAAGACGCCCCAACCCCCCTCCTTCAGAACCCCTATTATTGTTTTCTGATATATCTAAAGAATAAATTGTTGGACAGATGCTGAACATAATGAGAAACAAGATGTGTTTGTTAAACACTGATGCCCCCATATGACAACTCATGGCAAAGGTTAAAGTTTCTCAAGTTCAAGTGAAACTCACAGTTCAAGGTCAAGATATAAAAAAAATATAAGATCTAATGAAAGATCTTTTCACAAGCAATAAATTATTGAAATATAAGAGGAGTTGGGGCAATCATTCATATTTATGGTCAAGATTTAATTTTTTTTTTAAAAAGATGGTGAAATACAAGGTCAAGGTTGAAAGGTTAAAATTTCTGGTACCCCGAAATTTTAACTGGTACCCTGAAAAAATGCTTGTCATAAGGAAAACGCATGTGAAATAAGAAAGCCCTTGCACCAACCATTCAAAGGTTATAGCCAACATGTGTTGGAATATCACAATCAGCTAGAACTTGACATACAGACTACTCCGGATATATTGAAATTCAGGGGACCATGCAAATTATTTCAATATATCCGTAATTCAATATAAGTGAAATTGTGAAGCCGCCATTTTTTTTATTAAAAGTTCAATCCCGATATTAAAATATAGAACCCTATCAAATTAATTTTGTCATCGTTTACCTATAACAGTGTACAGACTACATGGAATATAAGTCCTTGAAAGTTTAAATAAAATTGTTTCTTTCTTTTTTATTGATAAGACAATCTTCTACTTAGTTATTATTCCCCGATCACATCTATTTACATTTTGGAGAAAAATCACCTATGTCAAACTGTTCATCTTAAGTGTACTTGGGTTGATCTCTTAGCTATTTCAAATTTAGGTTTATCATTAGCCATTAACAATATATGTATTTAATTTGAAAGTTAATTTTTTTCTAGATCTGTGGGGGTTACTATGTTGCCCTTCAGCTTAAATACTTCTGTATGAAAACAACTCATTATCACCTGTGGGAACTGATCAGTGGCTTCAATATAAGCGAAATTTCAATATAGCCATTTCGGGAGGTCAACATTACCGCTACATTGCCAAAAATTTCAACTCATTACCGCTACATTTTTTCAGATTTTCGACCGATCATTACCGCTACATTTTTTCGGCCAAAAACAACTCATTACCGTTACATATTAAATCGGCCCAAAACAAATCATTGCCGCTACATATCGATATAGCCAGGTATGGATCGGTATATGAGTTCTAATCAAAAGAATTCACTCACTATCTACATGTTATCAGAATGAGTATATTTATATAAATAACTCTGCAGTCGAAATTTAATTACTCCGGCTTACTTATCGATGGTTATAAATTTAGAAAGCAACAATATGTCAAGCAAATGGCCTTCAAGGCTTTAGCATGGTGTAAAAAACATTTGACAAAACTTAAAATTTTATATATGAACAGAGCTTGATTTGAATTTTTTGTTGCGTTTTATGAAATCAAATTGATTTAAATAATTAAAAAAAAACATCCTGCTCAAAGTCCTACATTAGCCTCCCCGTGATGAGCAGGGGAAACGGGTCTCATGCATTTATAGGTTGTACTGTACACAGTGTAGCGGTAATGTATACTTTTTTATGTAGCGGTAATGTAAGGTTTTTTGTAGCGGTAATTACTATGTAGCTGTAATGAAAATTTTGAAAATGTAGCGGTAATGATACGCACCCAGCCATTTCAATATAACTGTTGTTTTAATGCAAAGAATATGAGAGTCAAAAACTGGGGATTTATTTTTATTTCAAAATAAGCCGAATTTCAAAATAAGCGAGTTCAATATAAGTGGAGTAAGCTGTAGTTTCCTTTTAACTTACATGTGTTGGAACATCGTTGTCAGCTGGAAACTTGACACAGTTTCGACACATCTTGGTCACTATGTCCTCTCTAAATATCACAATTTCCTGTGTACAGTACTGTATACGACAGGGGTTAGAGGTGAAGGTCGAATTAGGAAGCTTCCTCCTGACCTCCTCTGTTACAGAGTTAGGAATGGGAGGTCTGTAAGCAAGAAATACTATATAAAATACACAGCTATGCAGCATACATACATTTTAAACCACTTATAAAATAAGATAATAAAATAAAAAGGTAAATGTACATGTACATGTAATTTAATATCTAAAATTAATATTGAAAGCATTTAGTCTTTCTTAGAGTTATGCATCTTTCTAACTAAGGAAGATCTATACATGTACTTCTCTGGGTGTCTTGGAGCATAAAACAATTAACAGGAAATATATCCAGCAATCCTTCATATTCTAACAATAGTCTTCATCAATTGCTGTGCTTACCTTGGTAAAATTGTTGATGGCCCCGGGTCTTGTGAGCCAGGAACAAATATAAATCTGCTGTTCTCTGCAATGCTGGGAAACTCCAAGATTAAATCTACTAAGGTGTGAAAACATTCTGAAATGTAAGAAGAATAATTCATACAGCATTTATTAGAGCACAATGTATATTTCAAGATGAAATGTTCTTATGGTGTTACAAGTGCAAATATCTGAAATTTATTTCTCTATTCTTTATGATATGTACATTATACAAGAATACTGAAAATGTTGTTTCATCTGTTTAACTTTTCATTTATATCATTAATGTGTAAATGACCACCTTACAAACAAACAAGCAGAGCTGTGGAAAACTGCCGGTCATGCCGGTGTAACGTTGAATATTGACCCGAGTTGAAAATTGACCCGGGGGTCATTTTTCAACGTTGAATATTGAACCGGGGTCGTTTTTCAACGTTGAATATTGAGACCAAAAGTCGTTGAATTTATACCCGGGGTCATTTTTCAACAGCTTGATATATTTTTTTTTCTTACACCTGATGACGTCAACAAGTTGAAAATTGACCCTGTTGAATATTGACCCCACCTCAAAGTTTGAACATTTTTTTTAGCTGGGAAGTTGTTTTACGGGATTTATCAGTATCACTTTATTTATATATCGGTTTCAATTTTTTTCCCTTTTCAAGAATAATAGAAATAAACATACAGTATCACCCCGTGTAAACATGTACATTTTGAACAGTGCACGGTTTTAGTTATCTTCAAGCATGACAACTTTATTTTTGACAATACTTTCCAAAATCCATGGCATCCATAAATAACTACAAAAAAACGAATAGGGCATAAAACAAAAATCTTAAAAATCTGCAATCTAGAAAGTAGCCCTATATATATTGATCAGGTGGGTGGAACATCCCATCTAGTCAAATTCAGTATAAAAATAACAAAATTTATAGCCTAAAAATTAGAATGAAACACATCGACCAAAATGATTCCAATGATAGGTTATATTTGTGAAAAGAGCAATATAGCGACCATGGCATGTAAGTAATGCTGACTTTAAATATTTTAAATTGTTGAAATCCCTGTAACAATTAACTTATTTGTCGGTAGACTGTCTCGGCTTCATCGCTTTCGGACCATAACCTTGAGAATGAGATTATTCTTATTCTAAAACATTCTTATTCTATAGAATGTGATTACTGTTTGATTACTTGTTATTTCTATTACATTATTTGTAATTTGTATTCGATAAATTGCTCTTCCAATTACAGGAAAAGTGACAATATTATTCATATATCATAAAATTTACATATTTTTTTTTTCTCGAAAACACGCATTTCCTATTCGATGTCATTAATATTTAAAACAATCGGTTGCAAGTCATTTTTGTCATTCATATGCGATATTTTTTTTATTTGATAATTATTTGGTTTATATGCAATAAAGTTGTTGTTCGAAAACATACTAGCATCCATTTCTATTCGAAAAAATACGATTCCTATTCGATAAACTTCTCATCTTATTACATAATTTTATCTCTATGATCTCCTATGCGATGTTTTTAATTTTTTCTTTTTCAATAATTGCCATGATTGCATTCTGGGAAATATGACAAATTAAACTAGAATTGGTTGTAAACTCAATTAAATAGGAATGTAAAGTTTCACATTATTATCGAATATAAATCAATTTATCACATAGATTGACAAAACAAAATTTGAAAATTTTGGGAAAAAGGCACAAGTTTTCTCTCTTCAAGACTTAGAGACTATGGATCAGCATAAATTAAGCTGTTGCTGTTTAATATTAAATAAATGTGTTTCGTTTTATGCATTGATGGAGTAATTATAGAGGATTTAGTTATTCAGAATGCTAATTTAATTATTTGATTATGTCTCGTATCAATTTTTGACAAAGATATCCAATATGTTTTAATATAAAGTACATGTTGATCCTAATTAAAGACTTCAAGGCATTGTTACGTCTCATCAATTACGGAACATTAAAAAATATTAATACAAGTTGTAGTAATTTTTTTTTCAGAAACATCAAGTCATATTCTATATTACCTTTAATTGAGAAATCAATACTATTTCTGTTTTTACAAAAAAATTATCTCCATTTTAACACTTGTTCTATGAGAAAAACAAGGCGGGGGGGGGGGGGGGGGGGGGGGGGGGGGGGGGGGGGAGGAGGGGGATCGATGTCACTCACTGTAATGAAATTTTCTAAAAGGACTCCTGCAATATAGCATATGATCACAAGAAAAAATAGTCATAACAACAAAGTTTATTTTTAAATAAAATTTGTGGAAAGACACTATGAATTATTAAGTCACAGTAGTGAAAACCCAATCATAAATATGTGTTTTTATGCTGTTGAATTTTGAACCGGTTTCATGATCAAAATTCAACGACCCGGCTCAGTTTTCAACGGATTAGGGTCTAAATTCAACACCTTTGGTCTCAGTTTTCAACGTTGAAAAATGACCCCCGGGTCAATTTTCAACCCGGGTCAAAATTCAACGTTACACCGGCAAGACCGGCAAAAAATGCCTGTGACCGGTAAAAATGCTATTGATGTCGGCCCAAATGACCGACCTCTTTCTTTGTTAAAGGTTTTAGATTTTCCATTTTGATTTAGGCCTATCATCGGCACACTTCCCAGCTTAGTTATCGTACCTTATAAACGATTGCGCAATACTTTTTCTTTGCACGAGATCGAGGCTACAGGAAATGAAAGCGAAACCAGCATTGTTTCGCATGACCTATTAATTTACCAATGGCACATAATTTGTAAAAAACATTTTAAAAATTAAGATAAGGCAGGCTATATACATGTAGCTGGGTATGTGAAACATTTTGACAGAAAAAATTCAAACACAGTTGAGTAAAGCGGTAAACCTATAGTTCTTCCGTCGTTCCGACTGTCCCCGATTTCGTTTTTTTTCATCGATCATGTTCATGATGTTGGTATCTTTATTATCGATGCACAGAGTTTCTTGGACTCATTTTCAAGACAAAATACAATTCCCAAATGCATTAATGTTTAAAAAAAATTACGTTTACTTTGCAGAATTATCATTCATTGTTACCTGCTAAAAGTGATGAAATGTAGTATTGTTATAAATGCAAAAAACGAAAACGGAGGAGGATGGACCTGGAAATGGAGACTTTTTAAATTGTTTTATTAAGTAAAGTGTACTTAAGAAAATAAATGTAATGCTTTTCTTTTAATTTTTTGATTTTGCAACTTAACTATTTCGGACCGGCAAAAATCACTTCGGACCGGCATATTTTGTCTTCTTGCCGGTCCGAATGACTGACTATCTGAAAAAGTTTTCCACAGCTCTGAACAAGAAAAGAGTGGTGTGAAAATATAAAGTAAAACAAAGATCAAGTGAAAATATGTTTTAAACAGAACAATAATTTGATCACCCTCTTCTTAAAACACTACAATAAAACTCGGTTATAACAAAGTCACTGGGACCTATGAAATTACTTGGCTATATCCCTAATTCGTTATATTCATATAAGGAATTTGTTAAATATATATAACTGGGGATCCAAGATAACTTCACTACATCCATGAATTCGCAATATCCGTGTTTGTACTAAACAAGTTTTACTGTATGAATTACTACCTGGATACGACTCTATGAACTATCTTCACCTTTGAGAACTTTTGCCCTATGGCTCTCCTGAGGTGCAGAAATAAAATTACCACACAAAATGAAACATGTTGGAGGAAAGTCTGAATATCCTGTAAAAAGCATCCTTAATTTTTCTATCACCTGAAAAAAATCAATAATGAAGTGAAAACAAGTTACATATAATAACAGTTTTCAAGGTCTAAAAATGTAAAACACATTTAAACAAAACGCGCGGTATGATAATTTGTCGGCACGGCCAGGTGTGTTACAGGACCGAAGACATCCCAAAATATGAATTCAATGCTTATATTTACATTTTCTAATTTTTTCTATTCATAATTGCTTATTTCGGTAAACTTTAATGTGAATTTGGTGCCCTTCAAAACTGGTGTGCTTTATAGAAGTAAGAGCCTTTTGTGACGTTGCAAAGTTAAATAACGCAAACGAACATTGCGAGGAAAAAGTGACAAATTAATTTTAAACGCACATTTGTTGCATTTTTACGTTTAATTAACATGGTTAATATTTTTCATTTATTAATTGTGTCAAAAAATATACATTTTGGTGTTCCTAGAGTATTGAAAATGCATATAGTTCCTTCTGTGTATTCTAACGCGCAGTGACAAGGTTTCGCGCATATTATAGAGATTTGAACATCGTGGATTTCTAATGGATTTCATCAAGAAAATTACACTGAATGTAAATATTTGAATTTTGAATACATTTCACATGGAATCTTTGTGCAAGTGGTAGAAGACAATGGTGAATAAAACACAAAAACGCCACTTTCCATTACTGTAAACGAACTTTTATTTTGCATGCGAGAAATATCCGCGAGTTCCATGACCTCCTTTAACTTGCAAATATTAATAGCTATGAACCATTCATTTTGTTAAGGATTTGTAGAGAATGTTTTCTCAGTCGCGGAAATTAATCGTCGCGGATTGATTTTAAAATGACGAATTGCGAATAAAAGATGATGCAAATAATAGTTGGTTTACAGTATTTAAAAATTTGAGAAAATTTAAAACGATTTGGGATATGACCTACTTATATTTATTTGAAATGTCCTAGTTATTTGTCTTACCTTGACCTGGTCCAGCCAGACATCTGATAAGAACACAAACATGGCGTCTCTGTTGTCCTGCTCCACCTGTTTCAGTTTGGCTGAGGCTTTGGCACAGACACTGGACAGTCCACCGAAAAAATTAATGTTTCCAAAATATGCCCTGTTAAAAGCAAAATAGATTTTCTAAAAACATAAATAAATGTAGTTTCTTTTCATATGCATGCATGTATGTGTGCATCAACAAATAGAAAAATCTCCTTGGCATTTTGTATACATTACTGGACATATAACTTATAAAATGAGGCTCATAAATTGAAAAATCCTCCATCCTAGAAAATTTGTGATTTCATAGTACATGACTAGACATTCAAAAATAATTCTTGAAATGCCCTTGACTTTTACTGTACCTTGTGACCTTTGCTGGTTCTGGAGGAGGGAAACCAAAAGCGTTGACATGGAACACTTCATCCTCATACCAGCCCTCAGCCAGAACAAAGCAGTTCTCTGTGAACAGCCCTGTGTGGAAGTTCTACAGTACGGTCAAGAATGTTTCAGATTGACCAGTTCATCAAGAAACAAAATACTTTTACCATATAATCCTTATTGATCGCCCTGGGCGCTTAGAAAATTGCGAAAAAGGGGGCGGTTATTTTGGTATTCTCTTTATAATACTTAATGTCATATTTTAACTTTAAAAAAATCTTTGAAAAAGAAACATAAATTCAAAGAACCACTAAAATAATGTTTAACTTTAAGTGAAGATAATCCACCCAAATTATGCTAAATGATTCATTATCCACCGAGAAACTGAATAATAGACAAGTTTCAATTTCCCTTTCTTCTAATTTTGGCAGACTTTTGAAACAATTCTAAATGATTTTAATCACTGTACAGGGGGCCCTTATTTCCTAACAATTGAAAAAGACGAAGGGGGGCACTTATAGGGGCAGGGGCAGTTAAGAGGGATTATACGGTAATAGACACTGTATTATTCTTATCCATGCTCTGTTAACTGTTCAATCAGACTACAATATACAGTGTCAGCATATACATGTACTAGGAGACAAAATTTGTGTCAAAATAAATCAGGTGTTGTATTATAAAGGGTTGAGAAATAAAGGTTCAAAGTAAAAAGTGAAACAGACTGCACATGTGCCAGATTATACAGATTTCACTGTATGCACATATATCATATATATTTTAAATTCAGTCGGAACCTGAAGTCCAACTGATAACTTCTGATTCTACATGTAAACTCCTAAAGTAATATGAGGCAGAGTAAGACAGGCCTTTCATGAATAAATAAATTATCCCCCCAAAAAAAATCCAAATTCATTTTTATAATAACAGAAAATCATTAACATCAGCTATGGTGCTATTGTTGTTTGTATGACAGTTACTCAAAGGATACAGCATCACTGAGATCTACTTGCACTGCGCCTGTTGGATCCTCCACATACCATTTACCCTAAAAACCCATAAATTAAACATAAAATTTATTATGAATGTACCTGGCGGGGTGGGGGGGGGGGGGGGGGGTATTAACATACAAAAATTTAATGAATATAAACATAAAATGTATTTAGAATATGCACATTTGATCATTAAATGAATGCATTTGATTTTTTCTTCTGTATATCATTATAAAATTTAGAATAAAGGTACATTTTCTAAGCTCTTCTTTTAACTTGGGTTTTTTTTATGTCATGGAATAAATATCATAATATCTTTATTTTGTAATACATGTAGGTGACATTAATAAAAACATGTGCAGATAAAAGGATGGGATACTACTCGTATACATGGGATAATAATCAAAAACATGTGCACCAAAGTCCTAAAGACAAACATGAAAGATGAAAAGAGACAATAACAGTAAAATAGAAAACGGATAAAGTACATATAAAATATTTTAAAATTAAGAATTTTTTTTACCTCTCTAAGTTGTGTTAACATTCCAAGTACAATAATTTCCCCTAGTCTGGCAGTGCTTCCAAGCAAATACTCTATAGGTTTTAGCTGAAAACAATGTATGTACATATTTGTTAAATGAATGATAGCAGAACATGTATGACTCACCCATTCAGTTTTCACTGATGACAAGCAAAAATCACGGCCAGGAACACGTTAAGTTCCAAGACAGTACCGTTGTCAGAGACCTTTAAAGTTAAGCACTGAATATTGCTCGTTGTCATGAATTTACAGGTGAGGTTATGACAAATCCGTCCGATGTCATTACTTCAGAAGACAGGCCGTGAGCAGTTTTTCATTTTTTAAGTTAAATCCTTTTAACCAATGTCTGAAATTGCAATGGGGAACAGGACTGACACCCCTATTGATGTTGTATGAATTACAGACATTAAAATGAAGTAATAAAAGAGGAGTTTGCGTTGGCGATATTAAACCCCTGTGAAATGAAACGTGGATTTCATTCATTTTCCTCCTGAGATGTTATATTTTTTGTAAATAGAATATTATTTATATATACCAATTAGTGCAGTCAGTATTAAGACATGTTATAAGCCTTTGCAGAAAAAATAGAACAAATTAAAACTGAAAATTTCAAATTATTATAATTTATGTCCGTTGTCATGACAAGATACGAAAATTCAGTCCGTTGTCATCGGTCCGTTGTCGCTACTCTACTGTATGTATACACTTTAAGGAGGTCGATTTCAGTTTTTTATGCTTTGATAAATTTCAAGCATGCCTTCAATAAATGGGTGATTAGTCATGAGGAACTAAACGTATGTTATTTTCTATATTTCATATAATATTCAGCTTTTCTTTGTCATACATAAGGGCTTTTTTCCTTAAAAAACTAATTTCAAAGTGAAGGAAGAAATGCGCACGCTAACTCTCGATTCCCACCTACGTTTTGAACCCATTTAATTCAATATTAATTGTAATTAATTATATATTAATGGCAATTTGGCCATATTATATAAAATCGTTGTTTAATACAAAAAACAGTTCAATTGTACATGTAATTGATGAATTGTTTTAATAAATATGAAATTATCCCTTTTTCCAGCTCTTGAAAAAAGGGGGTATAAGATAAGAACACCATATTTTGAAATAGTCTTGGATATGATTAAATGTTCCTACTATCTTTTCTTATGTTTTAGGCAAATAATGATAAATATGTTAATAAAATATAATGTTTCAGCTGTAAATCGCTTCGAAATTGATGACAAAAATAAGCATTTATGCCTCCTATGAGAAATATCAGCCAGAAAGTGCAGTAAAAGATAACCAAACACAGATATTCAGTTTTGTCGATTATGTCATTTGCTTGAATGGCATAAAGTAAAATGTATTATAACGAATCATTAAGGGGTATCACCTGATATTAAACAAAACCGGATAAAACAAGTACATAGGTGCATGAAGGGTACAAGTGTGTTCCCCCTGAGACTGACTAGAAATTTACATGCATTGAAAATATAAGATTACTCGTACATGTAAATATTCATAAGATATAACATAAATGAGTTAATCCTTGGAGGCGTCCAAACAATTGCGCCAAACCCAGAAATTTATGGCAAGTTACTAATATAAGAAAAATACAGATTTTGACTAGAATGCAAAATAATACAAAAACGAACCCATAAAAAGGGTGGGGGAAGATTTTCATCGCACTAACATTATAACAGAAATGGCGCAACAAAAAAAAATTATTGGATTTAAAAAGTCCGTAACCATGGTAACTCTCCGACGGTGTAAGATTAAAATACATTTCTCATAGCGGCATATATTGAATTATCTGTGATAATATTGTTTTTTGTCTATAAACATATTTGTGATAATATTGTTTTTCGTCGTTTTTTTTTTTTTTTTGTCTATTATCGATAAGTTTGAATTTTTGAAATAATAGTCCATATTACTTGTAAAAAAGAATTTTTGTTTCACCGGGGAGGGGTGTGTGTTTTAAAAGTATTTTCCATTGATTCCTATTGTGAAAAACACAAGGTTTTTAGTTTTCTCTCTTTGTTTTCCCAAATAAGTATTGTTTTATGAAATCCATATAATTATCTATAAAAAAAAATCCTTCGAATATGTTAACTTTTGAAAATTGACTTGGCGGTAGGCGGGAGAACAATGCTTTCGTTCGCAGTTCTTGAAGATGAGAAAATATTCAAAGACATGCAAACGCTAAGAGCTATTATCTCAAAGTTAAAGATCCCAGTTAAAGATCCCAGTCATTAGCTCATATTTCTGTTCATTTTGAATTTCTTTGCCCATTAGAAAAAAAAAATCTTTTAGGAGTGAGCATCGTCTGTCTACCGTTTACACCCACCATGTCCTCCTTGTCTTGATCGGGAAATATACCGAGAAAAATCCGTCGACAATACAGTGTGTATAAGTGGCCTAACAATAATGAATTAGTATGAAAAACGTCAGTCAGCATTTGTCTCAATGATAAATTGTATTTGCCGACAAAATCATTGTTTCGACCAAAGAACTTTTGAAATTATGACTTTTGCAAACCAAGACTTTTGATATTCTTGTTTCAGAAACTTGTTTGTCAGTTAAAACCTCTGTATTTAAAGTACATGTATATGTATCCAACATTTTAATTTTGTTTTACTGATGATATTTCAGGAATTGTTAAACGTTTGCACTCTAGTATGAAAATGAATTGACTAAATAACATCACCGAATGGTTAGCATGTTAGCATATATACACTACTCTAAAGACGATCCCCAAAAAGATTAAAAATTTTCCCCAATATGCTTTCTTTTTCTTAAGAGTATACATACATTTGATCATTTTTAATATATATGCATTTTCTTGATCAGTCTGACTTATAGTAAATACCGGCCCCTACTATTTCACCTCTAACAAAGTGAAATAGTAGGGACTGGCTTTAGTCAGACTGTTTTATTGATAAACTTATATGTTAATTAAGAAAAAGACACCGGACTGGAAAAACTTAACACGTACTGACAACGGACGTTTTGCTCATAAATAACGATTTCTCAAAGCCTGTTCTCAAGAATAGGCTGTCAGTTGTCTAACACATGTAAATTTAAGTTTTTATTCATATTTTAACATAAAAGGACCATTTTGATAAATTTCACATAAGAAATATATAATTTTCAAGCTGGCGATCATGACTTCACACATGGGCATGTGATTGCCAAACAAAACTTCTCAAAATGTATTGTGGATATCAAATACATTAATCTTTGTATGGAATACTGAATGTTGTATCTGTTCCCCAAAATTTAAATTTAATCTCGAAATTGGTCAAAAACGTCATATTTTAGGCATTATTTATAAATTTTGTATGTTTTTAATGACAACGGACGGATATTATCATAACCTTAACTGTATTTTCATGACAACGAGCCATTTTCAGTGCTTAACTTTAAAGATTTCTGACAACGGTACTGTCTTGGAACTTAACGTGTTCCTGGCCGTGAAAATGAAACCTTGGATACTTATCAGAAATGTACATTTAAATTTTATTGTTTTCTCTTTTTACCTGGAATTTCTTTGCACTTTCATCCCTTTCTGCTCCAATGACAGGAGGAGTGAATAAATCATGTCTCTGAGTTCTCTGTCAAATAAGACGGTGGTGATTAGTAAATTATCACTATATACCGGTAAATAGAAGAGACTGTTCAGTATCATTCAATGAATTACTGAACACACAGAGCGCATAATGAACAAAATAATTCTGGAGTTATATTAATAAATTTCAGTTGTCTCTTGCATATTAATTGATATGTCTCAATTTTTTCAGTATCCAAGATCTGATACTAGAATAGAATAAGTGCATTTATATTCTTATGATATATACATGATATAAGAATATTAATTCAAAAAGTCAATTTCAATGTTCCTTGGAATTTCACATTACAAGAAAGATAGAAAACTGAAACATGTGTGAAGAAATTATGAATATCATAGATTTCAGTCTGTCAGTGTTCAAAAACAAATTTTTCTTAGAATCCAACAGATTGAGCATTTGTCACAAACCTGTTGAAGAATGGTATATCTGTCCAAAAACAGAGTCACTTTATCTTGTGCTGTTCCATGCAGGCAAGGAGGAGGTAACCCAAGTGTGGAATTTCTTTAAAATACAAAAAACATAGTTTTCCAAAATCAAAGTTTTGAATTCTCAAAACAAAAAAACTGACTACTGACGTACAAATTTTACATGCATCCAATGGAATAAGGAACAGTTGACAATAAACACTTTTGATGTATACATGATGTAAAATTTAAGAGCGTTTTTGAAGGAATGAAATAGCTTAATTGTATCAGGGTGTATTCAACATTTTTTAAAATAAATTTGATATTTTTCATCATTATCAACATACATTCTTCAATCTCACTAAGATACATCATTGCTCACTTTCTTTCATTTTCTTAATTCTCCCTTTAATCTATTACTTATTATAGCTCTATATCCTTACTGTATAAACTTCTTGCGATCTGCACTGTATGTATATCTGGGCACAGAAAAGGCATCAATGACACAGAAAACATTGTCTCTGAAAATCAGAAATATAAGTACATGTATTAAAGAACAGTTCAAATCAAAATTATCAACTGAACAAAAAATGAACTTTCCATCAAGAATTCCAAAGTTTGCAATCATTTGAATCTTTCTTTCTAATATACGACAATAAACTTCATGCTTTCCCTAATTTAATGTTACAGGTGACTCTCGATCTCTCGAAGTTCAGGGGACCGCAAGAAAAGTTCGAGAGATCGAAGGGTTCGAGAGATGGAAAGTTAATAAAATCCGGAATTTTCCGTTCCGATCAGCGATGTTCTACTATTATATATACTGGAAGTATATGTAAATAAAGTTATTGGACGTTTTCAATCGTATTTTACAGGTAATATACTTGATATCAACAACAATGATCGTGTTTTGAATAAATAAACGAATTCCTGAAGATTCAATAGTTATTTGTTCTTATTTCATAATAATTTGAAACCCGAATACAAGCAATTGTCGGATTGGCTATTCCGCGGCTTGATCGGGTCATTCACTGTGTTCACCATATTTTTCTTAATCGGCATTCAGTCCTTGACAAAGGAATTTCTTGTGCATTATTTGCCATACTGGGATTATGTTGACTCTAATAAAAGTACATAATCTATGGGAACTTATTGAAACGAACGTCTATAAATTTATTTTCAAAATTTTATCATCTCGGTTACAGGTCAAAATAAATTAAGATTTCGTTTATCATGTTTATAATTTATCAATAATAACCAATTAATTATATCAATTCACGGACGACCCACAGGTGTAGTGTCATCTATGTAAACACCCAATTAACACCTCCATGCCATCCCCAGGCGATAACTGTTTTTCCAGGTAAGTCCAGGCTCAATTTCACGCTTGATCGGCGTGTATACACGCACTATCAAAACTTCGAGAGATAGAGGGTCAAATTCAATGAAATACGTGTAACGGGACCAAGGTATTGGTTCGAGAGATAGAGAACTTCGAGAGATAGAAGTTCGAGAGATCAGGAGTAAATTTGCTTAGTTATATAGAGGAAAAAAACGGGACCGGAGGTTCACTTCGAGAGATCGAGAACTTCGAGAGATCGGAGTTCGAGCCATCGAGAGTCACCTGTATATGTTTTATTTTACCAAAAAAACTTTATCATGATCTCTTAAAAATGTCAATAAAATGAAAGAGTTATTTCTATAATTTCCCTCATTATCCCCCTACCCCTCTTCTTGTTCAGCGTTACATTCTTGAACTGCAGCTTCACAGGCGTCTTTTCCAATTAGGGAAGATTTCACTGGAACAACCAAAAAAACACAGGAAATTAATTACAAATCATTGCTTTTACAATGTACTTTATAACATGTATCACTTTTTTCTTCAATGATAGAGAGTTGACACTCTGCTATTATTTAGTATAAATGGAAATCAAATCATGACATCAATTGAAAATTTATCCTATCACAGCTACAACTGACAATTTTTTTCATTTTTTATCTTGGAAATTAATTACCCAAAATCATCAGTCTATTATTTTAATTATGTACTTTTTTTACAAAACAAATCAAGTTAATAGACCTGTATGGGTGTACATAATGTTTATATGCATCAACTTATACTGTAAATCACTTTCTATTCAAGAGGACCTTTACTGTAAAATCACTAATTTTCGACGGGTCAATTTTTCGTGGTTTAAGGAAAATATATTGTTTCATGGGGATTTGATTTCGTGGTTGAAGAATTGTTCAATGGTGATATAGGTGAAAAATTTCATTTCGTGATGGACATAAATTGGTGGGTCTCTTCATACCTTGAAAACCACGAAAATTAAACCCCCACAAAAATTAGTGATTTCACAGTATTTTCACATCATTACGCAGGATAACGTGCTCATGAAAATAGCATTCTTACAAACATAAGTATTCCTAAGGATTATTATACACAGCATGATACACGGAAGTAATCACTGTTTGTGAAAATTTAGTCTTGTTAATAAAGAGTAGATGTCTATCTCGCAAAATTTTTAGCAATTTACAGTACTTACAGGGTTGTTTCTGGATAATCTCAATCATCTTATCAAGAATCTCCTCTCTCTGTGTTTCTTCGACATGATTGAAAACTTCAATCAAGTACTTGCTGGCTTCACTGAAACAGAAAATTAAGACAAAATTTAGATAAATCAAATTATTTCTATTCAAGTTGGGTGGCGCCAGGCGAAAATTATTCATCTGATGGTCACCACTTAATTTTCTGGTTTTCTGGCAGCTACCATATAATTTTCTAGTGGACACCGGATAATTATTTGATTCCATCAGATTGTTTGGTTAACTGTCCTCTCTATTGGGCGCGGTGAGGCATAAACGAGTATGATTACTTCACATTGTGCTGAATAATTACCGACCTATTATCGTGTTAACCAGAACTGGACTTCTTTGTCATTTCTTTCAAGGAGTAACTGTTCTGTCATACACAGCCTCAAAACTTTCAGAACTTTGATTGCAATTGCGCAGAAAAAGACATTTTTCCAAGAGCGATTTTTTCATGAGTTGTTTTCAGATGAATTCAAAGTTGAAAATGATCACTGCATCAAAATGATATTTTCTGCACACCCCGAGAAAAATGCTTTTTAATATAAATAAATCAATTTGGTAGCTAAATAAAGCTACCTCAGGTAGGTAAATAAAGCTATGTAGGTAAATCAAGCTACGTATCTAAATCTAGTGATTGTGCCAGACCTGATTATTATTAATTAGTCGACAGATGCTAAAAATTATATAGCAGCCACCAGAAAGTATATGGCATCAACTACTATGGTAAAGTAGATACATCTTTATTTAACAATGAAGCTGGAATTGGAACTGCCTAAGGTCTGACTGCATCTTTATGAAGGCTAAACCGTCAAAATACCACCCAGTCTCTAAACAGAAAATATCACAATCGTAAGAAATATATATCAAAGTATTATATCAATTTTTACCTTCGCAGTGTTAGACCATGCATTTTAAACGTTGATGTTAATTGAGACTTTAATTTTGCAGCCATTTTAATTTCCCGCCAAATTAAGTACGTTGAAAAGTGTATCACAGGCAGCTTGAATATGCACCGTCAATAAAACTATTCAACCGATCCACTAGAACGAAAAGCAGTGTTTCAACAGAGTGTGGGACATAACTAATCTTTAAAATGCAATTATGATGAAAATCACTTTTATACAAAAGAGATCATTACAATCTTGATTGTTTACAAATGGAATACGAACCCCGATCTCGATCAAAATAGGCAAATCGGTATCTGCATTCAATCATAAAATTGTAAATCATTATAAACATTGAAAGTGAAATAAATCTATATGGCAAGATATCTGTTCCATTTAATTCATTTTCTTTTCTCGGATATGACATTTTCCCATTGCATAATAATCGAATCGGGTTCATTGTTTGTTATAATTTAACCATACAAATAAAAAAGATGGCGAACGTAGAGGACGCACAAGCACGTGTGCGAAATGCATTTAACGACATGATGGCAGCAATTGACAAAGATATTATAAGACAGAGACAGGTATGACATCCCGAAGAATCTTATATTTCGTCGTTTACGTTTTAACTCTATACTTAATTTTCTTATGCAACCATCTTAAAAAGGCATGCAAATTAACTAGAGTTTCCTCGAAAATACCGGGTAGTATGTGTACAAGTACTAGTACAACATGCATTCATGTTTACACAAATCTTTACCTTACAGTTGTTAACTATTTTGCTTTTTTATTACAATGAATTTTAGAAAATGAGGGAAAGGGGTAACATTATATTCCCTATGCTTTTAAATAAGTATTTAATGATGAAATTTACATATTGAATAACTCTGAGAATGATCCACCAAAGTGAAAATAATTACATTATTACAAGGGATGACTAAAGTTTACTGGTAGAGTCTGGTTAACTGTTAGCTGCAGATCTGTAGCCTTATGGTTTTATATATTTGTCTTTGACCATAACGCTACAGATCCCGTAGTGCAAAAAAAGTGCAATTTACGGCGCAATATTTTTTGCGCTCTTTTCTCCACTTTCCAGCATCGTTCAATCAACTACCTTTTAACTCCTAATTCTAGACACATTATTTAACTAATCTGTGTATTTTATCCATCTCCCAACCCTTTATAGTCGTCTATACAAATGATAAACTCGTTTGATTAAAATTATTTCTTAGATAACTGAAAATTCACTTCAAGCGAGTTTATTGCCTGTAGAGACAACTATAAATGGTTGGGAGGTGGATAAACTATACATATTGGCTACAAAATGTGTCTAGAATTAGGAGTTGAAAGGTAGTTGATTGACCAATGCTAGAAATTGGAGAAATTCCCCCCCCCCCCCCAAGAGCGCAAAAAATATTGCGCCGTAAATTGCAACTATTTTGCACTACGGGATCTGTAGCGTTATGGTCAAAGACAAATATATAAAATCATAACGCTACAGATCTGCAGCTAGTTAACTGTATAATACATATGCTACATATTCTGCAATGCAAATGGATGGCATAGGATTCTCTGCACATGGTTGGGGACAATTTCTCAACTTCCAGCATTGATCATTCAATCAACTACCTTTCATAACTTATTTCTAGACATATTTTTTAACCAACCAGTTTATCTTATCCACCCTCTAACCATTACAGTCATCTCTGCAGACCAATAAACTGCTGTTTTGAATTCTGTATCGGATGGCAGAAAATCCAAAACAATTTTTGTCAATCTGAAAGGTAATCGATTTACCAATGCTGGAAAGTAAGAGAAATTCTTCCAAGACATACACTTATTTTTTACTATAAATTGCACCCTATTTGCATTACAGGATATTTAGTAATAATTTAATTTTGTTTATATTCTAGTCTCTCATTGGTTGATTTCCAAAAAGGAACGCAAACCATTTCTTGATAACCTGGTTTGGTATGGGGACACACCCCCTTGACAACCAGCTGAATCATCTGTATCCATGCAGTCCTCTCATTTCCAGTCCATGGGGTTCATAAAAAAATCCAGATTTAATAAATGTGCCTTTAACTTCAAACAGTAGCTCACTCTTACCTCATGTAAACAAACATCATGGCTGCTAGATCTGTGTATCAGTTATTACGTCCCCTTGTTTCAAATCACTTCCGTTACTAGGGATGTATTATTGAGCGGCAAATTTGAACTCATAAAAAGCACTACAATTTTACACCCAAAGTTGTTCAATTATTTAAAAATTAAATTATAAGGAATGACTCTAATTCTTGGCCAAATTATTCGATGATAACCTGGTTTGGGTCAGTTTACGCTTTTTCATAATCCGCTTCGCGGATTATAAAGGGTAAACTGACCCAAACCAGATTATCATCGAATAATTTGGCCAAGAATTAGAGTCATTCCTAAATCATTAACTCCATTTCATGAAAGAAAATACATAAATCTAAAATTCAAACGGAAAAGACTTGTGTCAGTGGATATACCTGGTAAATAAGAAAGCTCAATCACCAACCTTTCAAAAGTTATGATCAAGGTTTTATGTTTTTTAAAAGTGTGTCAAACTCCAGGGTCAAGGTCAAAATTAATGGCACACAGGTAAAACCTTGACATAAGAAAGATACATGCAAAATACAAAAGCCCTAGTACAAACTGTTCACGTGTTATGGCACAACCTGTTCAGATGTTATGGAAAAGGTTCAAGTTTTTCAAAAGTAGACCAAACTCCATGGTCAAGGTCAAGATTGTTGGTTCCCATAGGAAGGATTTGTCACAGGACATTTGAAAGCCCATGTATTAACTGTTCAAAAGTTATGTCAAAGGTTTAAGTTTTTTAAAAAGAGAGTTTATTTCTAAGGTCAAGATCAAAAGTTAAAAAATATTTACACCCATGGAAAGGTCTTCTCACTATAAATACACAAATTAAATATAAAAGCCCTAGCACAAATTTTTCAAATCAAAAGTTATGGCCAAGGTAAGAGTTAGGTAAATTTTTATTAAAGTGGGTCAAACTCCAAGGTCAAGATCAAGAGGTCAAATATGTTTGAATCCAAAGGAAGATCTTGTCACTTTTAAAACAAAAATTGAAATATGAAACTCCAGCCAATCAAAAGTCATGGTCAAGGTTAGCATTTTTGCGGACAAACATACAGATAGATGGACAGGGCAAAAACTACATGTATACCTCACAAATCTTCAAATACGGGGACATAAGAAACATTTTCTTTCATTTATGAGCATTGTTTCACTATTAACTATAGACATTTTTTTCAAATTTTTATGCAGTGTACGAAATTAAAACCTAAATTTATTTTCAGGCAGACATGCATACTTGTGCAGCTAAATGTTACAGTGATAGAAAAAGTCCAATTGAGGACATTGAGAGATGTGCACAAAACTGCAATGCCAAGCTAATGGAAGCATCAAGCTTTGTTCAAAGAGAGGTTGAAGGTTTTCAAGTAAGTTTAGAAGAGCTACATGAAAGTGTGACAAAATATGATCAATTGGTATGGCTTTAAAAAAAGATTCTAATATATATATGAAGAACCATGATCAATCTCCCCCAAAAAGGGGATTATAAGCTTATCTCAATATACAGCTTACTCTACTTATATTGAACTCGCTTACTTTGAAATCCCGGTTATTTCGAAACAGAAATAAATGGCCAAGTTTTTGCCTCTCATATTCTTTGCATTAAAATAACGATTACATGTATATTGAAATCGGATATATTGAAATTATATTGAAGCCACTGATCGGTCCCCACAGGTGATAATGAGTTGTTTTCATAACGGTTATATTGAAGTACTCCCTGTCGGCTGTCGTTACGGTTTGTGACTAATTATGCCTGATTGATCAGTTGTTATACAAATGTGTGAATAATGAAGTTTTCACCTAATGTGTTTTTATACTGCGTGCTCTTAGATTCTTCACTGTTAAATTCTTTGCGTCCAGGTATATAATACGGACATATGAGACTAAACAGCTAAGATAATATAGTAACCCCCACAGATCTAGGAAAAGAAACATAACTTTGAAATTAAATACGTACTGTTAATGGCTACTGATATGCGTAAATTCGAAATAACTAAGGTATTAACTCGAGTACACTTACGATAAAATACAAGCAGCGTTCAGCAGTACTCATCCGTGTAAGTCCGCTGAATTTTCTCGAAAACATAAATAAATGCGATCGGGGAATAATAATGAGGGGTAAAGATTGTCTTTCCAATGAAACAGAAAAAAGAAATAAACTTTCAAGGACTCATATTCTATGTAATCTATTCACTGTTATAGATAAACGATGACAAATTAATTTGTTCGGGTTTGTTCTTCCTTGTTTAAGATAGGGATTGAACTTGTAAAAATGGCGGCTTCACAATTTCGCTTATATTGAATTACGGACCCCTGAATTTCAATATATCCGGAGTAGGCTGTATTTCTCCAAATATAAGGCCCCCAAACTGTAATCATAATTAAAGGGGTGTAACTCTTACTTGTATACAAAAAAAACATATGAAAGAAAAGTTTTGCAAAAAAAGAAAGGAACATATTATATTTTTTTCAGTATGAAAGTCCTATATAAAACTGAAGTATTTATTGTGTAAACTGACATTTTTTGAATGAGAACCTACCAGTAAATGCCAGTTTTCAATTTAACGTCAATGAGATTGATGACTCAGTTAATGTATACATGGTATCACAGTGATTTTTCCATCTTCTGATCAAAGTTTACAGTGTTTACTGACACACTATGCTTTCGCTTTACAGAATCGAATCACTAGATGTGCTATGGATTGTCAGGATGCTGCACGAGACAAAATTGGTCCCGATACGAAAGAGAGCGAAATTCAGGGCTATAAAGAAGGCATGGAGAAATGCGTTATTAATTGTGTGGACACTCATATAACAACTTTACCAAGTCTAGAGAAGAGGCTACGACTAGGACTAACCAAAGGAAAATATGACTGAAATTAACATGCTGTTAGATTTTTTTACAATTACTTAATTTACAAAATGCTACCACAATGGACATTCATTAGCATTGAAATAGATTTTTTTTAATAGAATGTTGGATGCTTGTGTTCATTTTACACTAGTAAAGGCTGTGTAGAGTTTTACGGCATATACATGTACAAGCAATTATTTTTTGTAAAAAGTATAGATTCATGTTATGTAACAGGGATCAGAATTTAAAACCAGCACTGAGCACAGAACAATAGATTTCTTATCTGATATATGAGAACTTTTTTTTTTATGTACATGTACATCATTCATACATGTTGATGAATTCATTCGACAACCAACATAACAAAATCTATATAATGATAAAAATAAATATTTATTTGATATTGTCAAGTCACATGAGACTTTTTGTGTTTTAATATTTCTGTAGTGGTGAATCTAAATGTTTTATCACACTTTTCACAGAAGTAATGTTTTCTGAGGGGGTTCATTTGAGCCTCCTTTTCTTCTTCCATCTCCTGAGCTTCCTCCTGCTGAGTGGGCTCAATATTGCGACTTTGACACTCACTTTCATGCTCGAGTCTCTCTTGGAGGGACACTATGAGACTAGCTTGACATCTGGGACAGACCCAGTGTCTCTGCATGTTACTGGTGTATTCACCCCACACACTGGCTTCTGACTCCTCCAACAAACTGAAAATTTTCAGAGTTGATTATGAGTACAGTTTCATCAAATAATCAACAAAATGCTAGTATAGTTCAGCTATTTTTTTCATTAATTTAATTGAAATTGGGTTAATATGTCCTAAGAGGAGAGAAATGAGAAGGGAGTTAACAAACTTGCCACAAGTGAAAGGACTCATTCTGTATTGAATATGAGATAACATTACAAATTAGACCTGATTACATTTAATAAAGGTCAAGTACACCAAGCTGGTGTATTCACTAATGTTAACATTAATAAGAATGTATGGATGAATATCTCATTGACAAAAGAGATGATCTTTTGTAAAGTTTTATTCCATAAATACAAAATATTAACACCCTCCCATCCCCCTTAAATATTTATGTATGTGTGCAAACCAGTTTAGCTTAAGTCTTATGAGAGACTTCTGGTAGACTCAAGATGATTTTTGTAAGAGAGATGTGTCTTGAATTATAGTCAAAGGTATTACATGTACAAAATTGAAGGCAAGAACATATTTAAGTGGGGCAGTTTTACGACCCTTTAATTTTTAACTGTGACATAATATTTTCATTTGAGATGGATAAAACTTAAAATAAAATCAAAACTTGCCAGTTATAGACCAGATAGTTATTGATCTGGACTCCTCCTTTTACTGGATGAGTTCGCACCTCAGAGCTGGATTTCAGTACACCTGTCAGTATATTACTGTTCCCCATACAATCTACAAATTAAAGGGAAGCAACAAGACTTTAACAATTAACTATGAAGTCTCATTAATCTGTTAATGGATTTAAGATTTTAATGAATAATGTTACCATAGCCATGGAAGGAGAAAGATTACATCAAAAAGTTTTGGTTTGATTTCTATGAAACTTGGTATATACTATATAGGTCTACAAATTTGAGTTAATACATAATTAAATTTTTATTACATTTATGAATACCAACACAGCAAGTTTTCTTGTCCAGTAAATGACTAGTAATTTTAACTCACAATGGAAAAAAAACTGCTACAAATAGTTTCAATATATCAGATGATTATTTGATTCTTGCCTCTGTCTGGTCCCCTGTATAGTCGGCTCTGCTCGGCGGCCATCACTCGACGGATCGCGTAACAGACATCACCGGACAGGTACTCGCTCAGCTTCTTAGCCAGAATTTTCTCCAGCTGCCGAGCTCGGGGGTTTATCTTTCTGTCTTCATCCAAACTTTTCATGGTATCTTCAAGATAATTGTAGCATTTTGTATCCAGTTGTGAAGTTTTGAAACAAGACTTATGACTTACATTTTAAAATAGTGAAATATATAAACTGATAGAATACTCATTTATTTAGTAATATTATACAAACAGGTTCAAAGGAAACAAAGATCAAAATTCAGAAAAAAAAATTTCCAAGACAATCGCATGAATAGATTTTTTTTTTTCCCTTTTATGTATTTTGCCTTGGAGTAATTCCCTTTGGTCCCATCTTGTAGGACAAGGTAGTGACTTTTCCTCTTTGTGCAACCAATTTTAAACATGCATGACAGAAGAATATGGTGGAAAATATTTACAATCTTGAAAGTATGAATTAAAAGAGGCTTTAACAAATATAATTCATAGGAAAAATAGTGTTACCTTTACCTCAGTAACCAGTATAACAAATTGAACTTGGTTGAATAATGAAGGGATCTAGGAATGATGACCTACAATATGGCAGCCATGAGGAAATAACTCTTGCCTAAATCACATCAATGGAAAACCATCTATATACAAGTACATATTGTACCTTGTAAATAGATTAAATAATCCTGCTAAATACAAGTTCGTTTAAATTGACCCTAATAAAAGTTCAATCTTATAAACTGACAGAGTGCAGGTTATACCTTCCAGTCTAAGCTTCAGTAAGTTTTGCCAGGTGGCTCGCAGCTGTATAACACTGGACAGAGTGTTGGATGCTGACTCCTCATCAGCAAACTTTATCTCCAGCCAACCATCACACACAAGTCTGTCATAACAAATCAGTCGAGTACAATGAACTGCCAATATAATATTCTAGAGATTTATGAGGATTGCTTTCAATGTGCTTTACATTTTGAGTAATCAGTACACTACATTGTAGTATTTTCATTTTCTTATCACACTTCAATCTCTCACTTTGTTAGTTCAAACACAAATAATAAAATAAAAAGGCAAAAAATCCCGTAAATAATTGTCTCTTACATCAGCAAGATATTGTACCAGATACACTTCTGAAATAATTATAGCCCTCACCTCATACATGAGGCATCAGTGTCAATGAAGTTGGAGAACATGGTGACTGTCTGTAGAGCTGGGACTCTCATTGTGTTGATTAGATACGGCTTGTTTGTTTCCAGTAGTGATCTGTCAATAGGATAACAGTCTAACAAAGTTTGTACATGTAATACACAACAAAATCTAGTCATTTGGAAATATTTAAGAATATTTACAAACACATTCAGACAGGAAATTTGGCAGTGTTTTAAAATGTGACTGAATCTACATGTACAGTCTCTATGAATAAAATATTATATGAAACAGATTTTGATTGTTTGCTGTTGAAGAAATACGATTTCTTTTCACTGAAAAGGGACATGGATGCAAAGGATTTATACACAAATACTGAGTCACAAGAATTTCCACAGTAACAGCAACACCTCCAGGAATAACCTACACATAAGCTAACAGCTGGTGATGATAACTGAGTTTTCCCCGTAGTTCTGAGGGACACTGGGGATCATGTTTTATCTCTGTAGACCTCAGAAGCTCTGGCTGACAGGCAAACACACAGGTAGGGTGAAGCAGCAGGAAAGGCTTTGTCTGAAAAAATATAAAGGACAGATCATGCATCTCAGAATTTTTTTCTCTCAAGGTGACTCCAAGTAAAATCCCATTAGATAGATCCACATAATGAGCTCCTTGTTCAAGACTACCTTTGAAGATTTTTTAGTTTTTGGTAGTTTCTAACTAATAAAAATTAAACCAATTGGTAAAATATTTTTCAGATCATATTATAACCTTGAACCATAACTTCACTGACCTTGGTATGAAAAGCCTGTTCGGATTCCGATTTATGGGGATTATTTTCGTCTGCTATGGCCACCTGTGGATAAAGCCCACTACACAAGATAATCTTTAACAAATTGATTTCTCCCAGGGTAAAACTTCTGTTCTTGTTGGAGGTTTCCTGTCAGAGAAAAATACGATTGTTAACTCTCCCGTTGTAATTTTTGAGGCAGCGATACACTGAATCATAAAAGTGAAAATGTAGATGTTCATTTGAGTTTCAAGTACCATAAATTAAAACTGAACAACAGTGGACCAGGTCTACTCAGGTGATTGTGTCGTACCTGTAACTTGGAGAGATTGTGAGAGAGACAAATTTCCGGGGAGAAATTTGACCGCGTCATCGTAAATTAATACCACCTTCTCATCATCACTGATAAAATTGAATACCACATTTCAAAACTGGAGAGATTGTGAGAGAAAAGATGTCATCATCTTCCTTCTCATCATCACTGATGACAAAATCCTACAACATTTCAAAACTCAGTATAAGATCATCATCACTAATGATGAAATCCTACCAGGAATACAAAACATATCAAAACTCAGTAAAAGATGCCAAATCCTACTAGATATATGCAACATTTCAAACTCGGTAAAAGATAGTCTTTGCCAGAAAACAACTTTTATGATTCATTTCCATTAATATGGTCATAAAGTTCCATTACCTTTTACTAAATAATTCTTTTTTTAATTATCACCTTATCTTTAAAGATTTAAGTCTAAGAGAACATGCAACATAAATTTTAAAATAATTTCAAAATCAATTTTGGTCATACAATATCTTGTAATAAAGAAGGCAATGATTACATGTACATCTTCCTTACACTTTGATTTGTATTTTTAAGAGCCAAGTAAATGTCTTACATCATCCTCTAACTTTAGGACTTTCCTTTTCTTAGCTTCTCTGTTCTTCTCTTTCTTCAGCTGCCCTAATCGTTTCCTGTCTCCATGGTGACGACGTCTCTCGTCACTTGTCATAAAAGCTTCCCTACCTTCAGTCTTCACCAGTAAATTATGGTCCTTAAAATGTTGATATATTAATATTTTAATTTTACCGATATTGATAATTTTAAAATTTGTATTTTTCTGGTGCCATTACTTTTGATTTGCTGTACCTGTAGAAGTTCTTTGAACTGCCCCTTCAGTTTCGTCATTTCATAAAATCTCTGTTCTTCCAAACCTCGTCTTCTACACCATTTTCTGGTATCCTGACCCTTTCCTTTCACCTGTTCTCAAAATACATGTATAGCAAAGTACATAAATCAATATAAATATAATTCACTATTAAAGAAGACACTGAACAAAAATTACAATTAATATGAAATGACTTTGACAAACTTTTGACAAAAAATCACTGTTTATATCATTTTGAAAGTGATAATCAAAGCTGGGAACAGGCAAACCCCTTTTTTACAGTACCACATTTAACACTAAAAAATATGTCAATATTTAATGCGAATGATCTAACCTGTATCCACTCATCAAAAGCATTCAGTAATGTAAAGGGGTCTCCATGGTCGGATTCTAGTGGTTTTCTTGTAGACTGTAAGTATTTTATAATTTAAAAGAATGGATTTCAACAAAACTTAAAGTTTAATTCCTCAATAAGAAGCATTACTCCTTCTTTGGCACACAGATATAAGAAATAAACTGTGCCTCTAGTATTTCATATAAAGAATATAAACGATGTTTGTGCATTTTTGCTTCCTTGTTAGAAAATTATCAAAACATCGTTCTTTTTTTAAAAGTCAAATGGTCTCATGAAAAATACTTTTCATGTTAGTGGGATGCCATGCACTTTTAAAAGAAAATAAGCTCAGCAAATAATTCCTTTGTAGTTACTTGAGTAACCTTCATGTTTATTTACCACAGCATCATAATCTGTGTGAGCTTTACTGGTAAATGGAGACTGAACACTCATGGCTGCTGCTATAGACAACACAGGATCTATCATCTGTAAAATTAGTACATGTACCATATAAATAAGTTTTACAATAACTTACATGTATCAGACAGAGATCCAAAATCCTTTAATTGTGCATGCTTATGATTTCAACGTACATCTATCACATAAGATATCTATTTTACGAGAGTAAACTCCTAATCAGATAAAAGATCATAAAAATTATGTAATACATGTATTTTCCAAGTTGCTAGAAACAGCTCTTTATGTTCCGAGAGAATTAGCAGGTTAAGTTTATGCTGTTAAGGTAGATTTCTTCCGATGTTGATATTAAAAGACTCTTACATGAAATATTGATCCCATTATGAGCATCTTTCCTATAATGACATCTACTGGTAACCGTGACAACATCTGACCAATAGGAGTTAACTTCTCATCCTCAGTTAGAGCACTCTATTAAAAGAAAATTGATTTGTGTACATTTTTGTGAAGAAAATTAATTTTTTTACAAATTTTTGTCGGATATACAAGGGAAAATTTTTTGGATACCCCAATACAGTCAATTCTCGAATTATCGCCATTCGATTCATCGCCATTTTCGCAATACCGCCATAATTTCCCAAGAACGTTTTTCCTGCTATATAAAATTCTCTTTATAACGCCAAATTCGCATACCGCCATCCGCCACCCTGTTTTCACAACAAACGTCCATTTTTAAGTGTCAATTATCTCGATATACTGCCACAGGTGCATGTGGTCAGTGAAGCGCGGCTAATTAGTTGACTCTATTCCTGTTGTAAAGCATGCAAACGCAGACAAGGTACATGCAATTAAGTAATTAAACAAGAATTAGAGAAACAATAATTATAACATGAACTGTTATAATAATTTTGTTTTCTGTTTAATAAAATCATTTAGTCATGGCTTCGCCACGAAAGCGGTCGTTGTTAAAGTACGCCGATCACGATATTATTTTGATGATCTCTGCTTTAAACAGTGCAAAGTTTGCTGGAAAAAATAATTGTACAGTATAAATTGTGAACGTTCCATCAACAATGATACCATAAACAATGAACATATTCAAGAATTCATTTTACTTATTATCGGCAATATATCACGATGATTGACCCAGTATTTTTTTTTTCAATATTGAACGTGCAGATTTACTTTCATATACAAATATTTGTCTTTATTTCATAACTGCACATTTTGTTTTAGCGAAATTGTACATTAAAAAAATTACTTGAAGTATTTTCAATCAGAAATATGTTTTATATATATGTACATGTAATAATAAGAATAGAAACGCTAAATGGTATTTCTAAGAACGATAACTCTACTTCTTTTTTTCTAAAAGATGGGAAATTCAATTCATCGCCAAATTCGTTATACCGCCATGATTTCTAAATTACAAAAGGTGGCGGTATATCGAGAATTAACTGTACTACATAATCTCAATTACATGTACTTAACAGGTGCAAAATTTATTGACATGCAAGTTAAAATTGAAACTCAACATTAAAAAAAATCCCAACAATTGCTCTTTCTGAATAGGCAGCTAAATACAGTCAACATACCTGTTCTTTCAGGAAGTGGACAGCATTTTCTATGCTACTCATCTCTGGTTCCTCTAGAAAAGGAAATCTACAATTAACAAAATTTAATTAGTATTATTTTTTAAATACTAGATTTTTAAGATTGGGTAAAAACATCGTTTACTAATCATATGGCTTCAAAATAATGACCTGGCATGATTTAATAACAGACAATTAAATGGAAAAACTAACAGACAGACAAACAAACAGGGCATAAGGAATAGATCTCTATCTTTGTTGTGTTGAAAGAGTGAATAACTATTGCTGCACATTTAAGAGTAACAACACTGAGACACCAATGTACATGCACAGTCTTTGTAGATCTTTATCTGTTGATATGAATTGACCATTTTTCAAACCTCTTACTTTCTGACATCTGGGAGCCCCATGGATATCATCTGTAAGATCAGTGAGTCTAGTGGTACCCTCTGTATCTCTGGTGTGGCGTACTCCTGGAAGGATTGAAAGTCTGACTCCTCATACAATCTGTAACAAACACCAGGGCCTGTCCTACCTAAAAAGCAAGAATTGTCTTATCAGCATTATATAGATATAACAAATACATTTATGACTTGTACATATTATATTATAAATGCCTATATATACACTATAGTGTACATGTACCTCACTTTTACTAAAATCTTTTATATGATATTGAATGTAAAAATGCAAACTTTTTAAAAGCAATGATTTCAAAAGCCTTTCTTGCATCCTTAAAATTCTGCATGTCATATTTATACATAATGTAGTCCAGTGGTGTTTTGTTTTTCTGGACAGAAGTTTAAGATTTCAACAAGTTTAAAGGTCTAAAGTCTCTCCATAACTTGTAATCATTACCTGCTCTACCCTTTCTCTGTTCTGCACTGGCCTGACTGATCCAAAATTCCTGCAGTCTCTGCATTTTATACTTAGGGTCAAAGGTCATTTCCTTCACCTGTAAAATATTAATATGTACCGTACATCAGATTTCAGGTCTATCTTTAATCCCCTTCAAAAGCATAGTGTATGTTCACTTCTAAATATATAGTGTGTACATGTAAAAGCATATCATCAATTTTTTAAATGTGTGTTACAACAAAGTTAATATATAATTGTATAAAGTTTGACATAAAAATGTATTCAGTGATTAGCAGAAACACATTTGTGCATGTAGCTTATATATAATACTTGGATAAAGATGAAAGCAGACCTTTCCAGAGTCGATGATGAAGCGAACTCCATCTATGGTCACAGATGTCTCTGCGATGTTAGTGGATACAATACACTTCCTGACACCCTCAGGTGGAAAATCAAACACCTGACAAAAATTGTTAAATATTCATTGCTAAACCTTAATGTTCTAATGTTCATGTTTGGCAGCTGGTCTTTACTCATCAAAGCATAATTAAACAATTTTTTATCAAAGATGAAATCACCTTTTAAACAAGGTTTGAAAACTGAAAATTTCAGTAGTTAGCAATTATCTACAAAATTAAATCTCACTTGAAAATTTTATATGACTATATACTGAAAGGTTGATATATTCAACATAAAGAATAAAACCAATGAATACATGTACCATAAAACATGCCAAGTGAACTTAAAGAAGGACAACCTGATACATGTCAGCCTATAAATATCAGAAAATTTTCAAAACATATTTATTACAATATGATCACACAAATGAAAATCGGTTAAAACTGTTTCATCAAAACCATCTTTAATCATTACAACAAATTTGAAAATCCCTCTCTTTACCTTGTCCTGTTCATCTACAGACAGAGCCCCGTGCAGTGGAAGCACGATCCACCTCCTCGTGTTCTGAGCGTACATCTTGGCAGCCTCTACCACGGTCATTATCTCAGACATCCCACTCAGGAAAATCAATAGATCCCCTCGCTCAGTGATAGGATACTTTAAAGGATACAAAGTGTTTTCTAAGATTGTAAAGTAATTTTTATTATTCACACATAAATTTATTTTCTTCAAATAACATGTATAAAAATTGCAAGATGGTAACCCTTCTCAATGGTTAATGAACAATTCTCAATGACAAAATTTTTAAAAAAAACAAACTAAAAAATATTCTTCAGACATGAACAAAATGTTGGAAACCATTTACTAACCTTTGTATCAATTCACAACAGTCAATAATGGTAACAATTTTCAATTGTAATGAAGATGCAACAATTCTAATTGACCAAATTTTCCAAAAAACAAACTAAACAAGATGTGTTTGTGAAACACTATGCGCCCCGCGGCAACAAAGTTATAAAATTCTTTTTTTAGCATATAGGTCACAGTCAAGGTCACAAGGTCATTGATAATGTCATTTGAAAGAACTTTAGTAGTGGAGTAAGCATACCAAATATGAAGTCAATATCTCCTATGATTCAAAATTTATGGCAAAAGAAAATATTAGCATTAAGGTCACAGTATTTGATGTATAATTAATGTGAAGTAAGCATACCAAATATGCACAGTTCAAAATATGAAATTTTTAGAACCTTCACAAGGTCAGTAATTGCCATATAAATCCAACTGTACAGAAGTACATGTAATATTAAACTGTGATTTGCATAAAAATCATAATTCTCGGATCTAAAAATGGGGTGAACAATATTTTTAAATATTGAAAAAATTAAAAACTTCATATTTTTCCAAATATGGTGTCAATCTTGCATCAACTGTCCCAAACTACAACACACCCTTCATCTTAATGAAATTTTTTAATCTATTTTGTGTTTTTTTATAAACATACTTGCCCATTCTAGTTCTCAACACTATGTACTTTTGCAGCTAGCTTGTTTTATAAAAGAAATACAAAGTTTACCCTTTCAAATCTGCATAATTCAAAACCCCAAAAGTTCAAGTCCTACATGTATCTACACAAACCTTGACAACAGGGGCTCCATCAAAGTAGCTGCTGAAGAGGTTAATATTAATGGTAGCAGACATTAACACCAGCTTTAGATCTTTTCGATGCTGTAGCATACATTTCATCACCCCGAGCAGGAAGTCAGTGTGAATGTGACGCTCGTGAACCTCGTCAATTACGATCACATTATACTGGTTCAAAAGTGGGTCAGTGGTCATCTGTCGAAGTAAAAGTCCTGCACATAAAATGAAAAGATTCAGTTCAGGGAGAAAAGATGCATTGAAAATTCTAAGACAACACACTAGTACACTCTTAATTCAGAGAAACCCAAAGTCCAATATAATAATATAAAATATGCTTGTATAAATTACACATTTTCACACTACTATTTCATGCACTAATACAAAGACAGAAAATCTGATTTACATACCTTCTGTCAGAAACAATATCCTGGTAAATCTTGTTTTTGTCTTTTCAAACCTAACCTATGTTTTCAAAAGCAAAAATGAATCAATTTAATATTTTGTACAAATTTATTTCTTTAATCTGAAACACTACTAACATGTAATATTAATTTTACATATAGATGTATTACACACTGACAATTACAAGACCTTATTTTTTAGGCCTTGCCATGACCTTATTGAATTATTCAATAAAAATATGTTTAAAGTATAATTACAAGACCTCATTTTTCCTTTATGACCATAAAGATCTTTCTCCTGTATGCTAAACAATCTCATAATATTTTATACAGCCATTGATTCACATGCACTGGTCCTTTTTTTTTACCTGGTAAGCCACTTCAGACCCATATTCATTCAGTGTCTCATAACCCACTCTTTTGGACAGAGATATACATGCGATACGTCTGGGCTGGGTACACGCTATCCCTGTGTAGCCTGCCGCTAACAAGTACTGAGGAACCTGTGTTATGTAACAGACATACAATTTTTTATGACAATCAAGATCAATGCTCCTTCAAGATAACATGTACATTTTAGTGTAGTTCACATCAATTGATCTGTGTAGCATACAGTACATGTTCAAATATAATAATTTTATGATTATATAATACTCATGAAAAAAGAAGAGTTTTCTCCCTTTAACACAGTAATCTTGAATGTGCTTTTATTTCTTCTTCAAGCTTAGAGTATCCACTCTGTTTCTTCTATTCTTTTTCCTTATCGTCGATTTCTACCTTAGAAAATTTTGATTTGGAGTGGATTTTACTCTTTTTACAAGGATTATCTCTAAAGATGTTGATTTCCCCAATGCCTGTGTTGATTTTTCCATAACAGTGTTAATTTTTTTTCCATATTCATGTGTTGATTTTCAATTTTACTTGTGTTGTGTATACCATACTTGTGTTGAATTTCTCCATACCTATGTTGATTTTTCCCATACCTGTGTTGATTTTTCCCATACCTGTGTTGATTTTCCCCATAAATGTGTTGATTTTCCCATATCTGTGTTGTTTTCCATATTCCTGTGTTGATTTTCTCCATACCTGTGTTGATTTTTCCCATACCTGTCTTGATTTTTCCCACACCTGTGTTGATTCTCCCCATATCTGTGTTTTTTTCCCATGCATTTGTTGATTTTCCCATACCTGTGTTTATTTTCCCCATACCTGTCTTGATTTTTCCTATACCTGTGTTGATTTTTCCCATACCTGTGTTGATTTTCCACATCCTGTGTCTCCTGCCACCACAACTATTTGGTTTTGTTGAAGTTTATCAAGAATCATTTGTTTGTACTGGAAAATTGGCAGATTTTCCTGATCTGTCCGGATCTTCTTCAGCTTGTTGAACTGTAAATTTAAATTAAAATCATCATAAGAAGATTTGGTGTTATCTGAATTTCATATTTTTCTTTCCATTGAAATTATATTCAATAATATGTAAATACAAAATGAAAGCTAAAACTTTAAGATTTCAGCAAAGAGAACTTTTTTTTAAATGAAAAAATTAAAATGATTTTTACAAGTATTTACAAAGTATTTTAGAATACCTCCAGTACATGGTATACACACCTTTTGTTTCTGTAGAAAGTCTAGGTAGTATAACAAGATGTGTTTGAACTGCCTTACTCTCTCTATGGTCAATTCTCTCTCAATTTCACAATCTGAAATATCACATACATTATAAGTATCTGGTAATTAATTTTTCTTCCTTTTTCCTCAGATGACTCTCCATCACTGACTATCCCCTACATGGTCTAGTATAATGTTTTTAATTTTTGTTACACATTCCCTCTCCCTATTATCTACAAGAAAACTTGTGACATTTACCAGCAAGTTTCCCTCGTCTTAGAAAGTCATCTACGTTTTTGCTGATGATTCCGATATTAACTCGGTACCTCTTGTCATAATGAAGTGGAAGCCCTAGCTTCCCTTCCTTGTCATCTTCAACCTTCTTACCTGAAAGACATAATAAGAGGCATATTCATAGAAAATATCCTTTAAAATGTAAAAAGATTTCTTTTGTGAACATCATTTTGTTTATTTAGATACATGTACTTTTAAGACCAAATGAATTTAAAAATGAACTCAGTGCTTTCGTGCAGAAAAAGTAAAACTTTCAGCAAATTCATTTTCATTAAAATGAACTGTAACTGCATTTCTGCTGAATTTCATCTTACTATGTACAAAATACTACCCGGTAGTAATCTAATACAAATTCTTCTGACTGCAGCAGTATAAATCCTATACTCTACCTGAATCTTTACCAGATTCATTTTTCTTCCTCTGGAAATCTTGATATCTTTTCAAAAATATCCAGAAATCATCATAATTTTTAGTTCCTCTGCAAACAAAGAAATTATACCTTGATCAAACATGGATCTTATTAAAGTTGAAAATATGTAAAAATATGGTCCTTTAAATTAAAAAATTACTATGCGCACTTAATTTATACTTCTCAATAATTTTCACTGAAAATCACTTTCTAAAACAATTGGTGCATCTCTTGGATAACAACAGTAAGCAAAAATACTTGCCTTTTTAAGAAACTGTCCTCTCTAAAAAATATTTTGTTGAGAGATGATCTGTAGTCGTGAAAGTTGAAATCAAAATCAACACTTTCCTCTTCAGCCTTTGTTTCTCTATCTTTATCATGTTTATATTTATCAGGTCCGGCACAATCTTGATTAAGCTATATAGCTTGATTTAGCTTTATAGCTTTAAGCTATTCAAAATAGCCTTATCTAGCTATTTTATCAGACCTTTTTTCTTAAAAGTGTTATTTCTTCAACAGGTGCAAAAAATGCAGTGGAAATATAAACTTTGAACTCTTCTGAATATAATGGATGTAAAATCACTACCAAATTGCATCTCCTTGAGAGACTTAGTACTCAAAATATCAAAATGTTTTGGGGCTATTGATGAATGACCACACAATTATTTCCTGAATGAAATCATAAAGGAGGTCAGATATGGCCAACAGGGTACTTGATTGGTAAGAGTTCAGCACAATGAGAAGCAATCATACTTATACCCATGCCTCACTGCATGCAAAATAGTGGACAGTTACTCAAACAATAGACATTCATATCTTGCTTAAAAGTATTCAACAGCAGCAATGTTAGAACTTTCTATGTTTTAGGTTGTATTTTTGATAGCCCATTGTACATATATGAATAGTCAAATATTTTGACTTTGAGAGTTTATTTTTTTCAAAAAACGTTTTTGTTAAGAATTGCATATAAATAGCTTTATCAAGCTATTTTGAATAGCTTAATAAAGCTATATAGCTTTTTAAAGCTATATAGCTTAATCAAGAGATTGTGCTGGACCTGTTTATAAGATGAAGACTGTTCCCTCACATACTCAGCATCTATCAATGTACAAATTAAAACTTTTAAAATACTGTCTGATTGTAGGATATATTACCTGATTACTGCTTTTGTATGGTTGAATCAACTGCAATCAAACTTCAATTTTATTGAAGGGACTAACGCCCAAAGAATTGAGAAAAAGTGGGGGAAATAATATAGAAAAAGTGGTTGGAACTTCCACACCACTTAATTTTGGCATATCCCTTCTAGACCAGGTCCAGCACAATCTCTTGATTAATTGTATAGCTGTATAGCTTGATTTTGGCTCAAATGTGTTCAAAAACGTTTTAAACTTCATTTAGAAAAGAAAGCAATACCTTTAGTGTTGTCTTCATCTTCGCTGTCTCTCTTGTATCCATATTTCTCCCCTTTATGTTTCTCTCTGTCGGCATATTGCCTGTCTTTGTGTTTTTTATGCTTTTTCTTATGTTTGTGTCTCTTTTCGTGAGAAAATGACTCCATCTTTGTTTATACCGGAAATAGATTTGGATTTATCAGTTTACCCAAATAGACTCAAAAGAGGTTCGAAAGGATTAATTTAGATTATAGTGTATAATTTTTTCAAAATTGTTTTGCAATAATATGAAAAGATACTAAATAAATCATAAAATATGCTAGAATATAAAAAAGAATTCTTAAAAATAGCTCAAGATATGTAATTTATTTATTTTTTTTAATATCATATTTCAAGAAGCCATTTTCTTTATTTCTTTTATTTCCATAAGGTGGCACAAAAAAATCTGATAGAATCCTAGCTCTTATCGCTGTTTAAAATCTCACAATATATGAAAACTAGCAATCTCAATTTTTTTTAATCTTGAAACAAAATTTTGGGAAAAATACATTTCTGACTACATTTGCACTCATTTGGGTAAATAGTCAAGCCTATTTCATTTTGTTCTTCTAGCGGTATTTTCGAAAAGGAAGATGGACGGAACAGATACTGATATGAAAAACCATCCAAGGGATAATATACAGGAGTAATTTTTAGTCGTTTTTATTATTAATTTAGCATTATTGATATTGTGTCATATCTGTACCAGGAAATTTCTGTATATCAAATTAAAGAATGATCGATAGTCTAGTGTAATGTCAGTAATGAAAGGCAGGTCCTGCACAATCTCTTGCTATTATTTAACTTTTTGACTGGAAATAGTGGTATATATTAACTTAATTAAGCTATTCAAATTAACTTGATAAGCAATTAACTTTGTGTTACTCATCGACCCGACAAACTCTTATTATATAACTCTTCCCTTTTTTTTATCAGCATCTGATCAGTAATAGAAATTTTCATTTTAGATTCCTAAATGCAGTTGAAAATCACAAATTTTATGAGGGTACAGAAGACATTGACGGAAAAGATTTGTCCGTCAAATTTGCTCAGCTCAGCCAGGTTTGTACAGTGGACTGAATCCTGTCAAAGATTGAGTAGGCCAGATTCATGCAGTTACAATGATCTGATGATGCGGTCCTACTAAACAGAGTACGCTAGTACGATAGAGTACGTTAGAATACCTAGTAAAATTTAATAATCTAATTCAATTAAACTACTTTCTATATGTTTTTCTACTTTAGTTTAATGTATTGAACATATATCTTAAATAGAATTCGTATGTTTTCCTTATTTTATGATTTATTTTAATTTTTGATTTCTGGTTACCATCTATTGTTTGATCCCGATCTAATTTAACTTAAACATGTTAAAATGTTTAAGAAATGAATGTAATATTTTTTTTCTTTGATCGATATGTATCAAAGAAAAAAATTGGAGTACAGGACGGAAAACTTCATCAATGCGCATCATTTAATTATTATTTTAAATTAATAAAATGAAAGTTTCTTTCACTTTTCTATTAAATTTACACGTCAAAAACAGTGCGCACGAATACATCACCATAACGTTAACGTTGCTGAAAATTCAAAATGGCTCTAACGATACTAACGAAAAAACGTTCTCAAATATTGTCGTATGATTACCAACATTCTCTGAAATAATTTACAGTTCTTTAACACAAAAACTTAACCTGTTGTGTTATCCCTCTGGGTATATTTTTCCCGGTAAGTTATCTTAGTTCGTAAATATAAAGGGAAGCTACTCAAATATCCTAACAGTTCTCGGTCACAGAAATTTTGGATTTCATTTGCACATCTGAATTTCAAACCAAATATGTAAATAAGTATCTCACAACCTGTCAATGCTGTAAAACCTGAAAGAGTCTGCTTCCGACTGTTCAAGATGAAAAGAATTCCGTCCTCATTCATGCACTGTCGTTTTTCTCAATCATTCGTTTCCCACAATTTAACAGATTTACGATTTTCCCCGCTTTGGAGTTTGGTAGCATAATAAAACATTTTTTCAGTTCTATTGTTTCATACCAGATATCTCAAAGTCAAACATTTAAGAAGAATATGCCGATTAAACGATTTCTTCCCTTCTTTCCCATAACTGTATTGTCGTCATGCAGACGATTTGATTTGTTTAGCAAAGGGGGATAATTCAAAATGAAACGAAAGTAGAAAATAAGTCAGGAACGTAACGGACAGGTTCCGAAATTCAGGAAAATATTTATTAAAGTAAAAGTATTTAATTATTCCTTCAAAAAGTAATCTGGGAGCGGGAATATACATGTAAAGACTGCCAAAGTAGTTCCGGCTGCTTAGTGCAAGAGAACTCTAGATTTTATTGATGCAGTTATCAAAAGAATTTTTTATCCAATCAGAATCAAGTATTTTATAGAAATTAAATGATTTCAATTTTAATGTGAAAAATATTTACATAATGCAATGAATTTAATGTTTGATAAAATTTAGTTGAAATGATTGAATGTGAATCAAAATAGTAATCGAGATTGGGGGTTTTATACTAGTAATCTTCTTGCATTGAATCATGAATGTCATGTTATTTTCAAGTCAAAATATTGCTAAAAACCAAATATTTGAAGCAAATATTGAAATATAAGGTAGTTTATAGTAATGTTTAAACAATTTGTATGATCATGAATAAATAATCTAATTGCATTAAATTATACAATTTTTCTAATGTACTCTAAAGTACTCTATCGTACTCAATTGTACTCTGTTTAGTAGTACCCCTGATGATGATTAAAAACATTGTACAGTACATGCAGTTAAAAGTCTTTTTCATTTGGAGAGATTGTAATAACCCTTAACAGCTGTTAAAACTTTATGAATTTTATTTATTTTTACTGCAGCTTTAGGTTACTCATGTAGTGGATCAGCTGTTCATATGTTTTTAAAGTGAAAAATATTTGCTTATTATTGTGCAGTGCAATGCTCAATGTTATAAATGTTACCCTTAAATTTTAGTTTTTCTTAATTGCAGTTTATGAATAGATTACTTCAAATACTGAGATATTATTTCATTTCTTTTTATAGAGGTTTTGGAAATAAATTTGAAAATTTTATATCTTATTAAGCAGTTTTAGAAAGAGATTATAAATGTAATTTTCTTTGAATAGGCAAAGACACAGATCAAAGAGGCTTTTTCATTACAAACAGTGTCCAAGGAAATGTTCCTCAAATATCTGTGTCAAGACTTCAACAGCTGGCCAACACAACAAAATCAGTCAGGTAAAATTAATGGTTTACAACAGAATCGGTTCTGCCTTAAATTAAAGGACCCCTTTGGTCCTTTTTTTTGTAAATTTCATGTTCTTTTACCTGTAAAAATGCATGTTTTGAAATGCATATAATTTTTGACAATTTTGAAGTTGAAAATTGATTTCTGCTAAAGCAAATATAATTTTTGTGACTGGAAGGTGTTCATTTACCCATACAAACTATAGGAATGTTTGAAGAGTTAAAAATGTATTATATCTATGATGATTTATAGAGGATCCACAGATGCAGGAGGTCTCACAAAAATTAAAGTCCAGTAAAGCTGCCATTGAACAAGAGAAGGCAACCGCAACAGAACTAGCCTCTTGTGCTGAGGATGGTAATTATAAGCTGTAATGAACAAAAATTTGTGTAATGATAAATACTAAATAGCTGTAATTGAACAAGAGATGACCTCTGCTAATGAACCAACCACGTGTGCTTGAGGATGGTATTTATGATAAAACAGCTGTAAAGCTGTAAATTGAAGATTCAAGGGCATAGTGTCTTTGCTCTGTGTGTCTGTCTGGTTGTCTGCAAGAACATTAAATTTGCTCATATCCAGCTAATTCCATGTTTTCCATTTGTAGGTTACGAAATGCTGAAGTCAAAGATCTCAAGCTTGAAAGAAATTCTTGTCAAGAGAGAACAGAAGGTATTTGGTTAATCTATCCTTTTGTGCCGAGAGTATTTTAAAAATAGTATTCAATGTAAGGAATATGACCCTGATAATGGTATCCTCTTTTACAGTATACATGTTTTATAAATGTATGTATAATGGATGTCTTATAACTGCCTTATTCTTTCATCTATGTACTATAACATAATTTGATATAGAAAATATCTTCAGCATGTTTATAGATTGCTGACAGGAAAGTTCATTGAAATGAACATTTTATACCTTAGCGAAAAGAGTTACAAGAGCTGAGGAATAAGATGAATGGTGGTGAAGGAGTTCCAAAGAATCTAAAGGAAGCCATTCAACAACAGGTTTGTAATATGTCTATTATCCATAGTAAGGAACTGCTGCAAAGAACAAAATTTTAAAATTGTGTAGCTCCAAACAAAATTATTATTTTCTTTAATATCATTGTGGAATATGACAAAGATTGAAAAATCAGCTCTACAAATCAATGAAGTGTGCTGTCCTCACTCATACACTTTATTGATAAAAAAGTAGATTCCATGTTTGCATCAAAATTTTTCAAGGAGTGAGATATAAACCTTTAAACAAAACCGATTTTTTCTTATGAGCATTTTCCACAGATTCACAATGCACATATTAATGATGACAATACACATGGCATTTAGAATTTAATTTTCATTATAGAAAGAGGAGAAAGCACGATTAGAGGCTGAGATAGCCATGAGAGAGGAAGCAAAAGTGGAAGCCAAAGTCGACCACGACAGACTACAACAAGACGTGACAACTCTCCGAGGGAAGATCGAGAGACAGGAAGAGGATATCCATAAATCTCACTCCGAAGCAGTCAAGAAACAAACACTCTTAGCAGAAAAAATCAAACAGTGAGTAGATCATATAACTGTATAAAGGAATGTTATACATTTTATTTAAATTATATATACCAATACATAGTGAATGATTTTTATTCTGTTCAGTTTCTTAGTTCACTTGAGCCAGTGAATCTTTTCTGATCAAAATGTATCATTTGTCTGTCCTCCCATCTGTCTGTTGTCTGTACACTTGACATTTTCAGCTTCAACCCCCCCCCCCCACTTTCTTTGGAAGAGGACAATGTAGTGTTGTTACTTGTATGATGCATGGCTTCCTGATGGTCTGATCTAATGGGTCAATCTGTTAGAGGTCCCTCATTCAATTCCAAACAGAGAGACAAACTAGACCCTCTTACAACATTGTAATGAACAATATCATCTGAATATCATTTTATCCTTATAAAGAAATACATGTAGAACTCTGTGAATACATTATGTAAAGCACTTAAGACAGGCATGATAGAGGTCCCAAATGCAATGCAAAGCAGACGGGTAAATCAATCTCTGGTACAACATTTCAGTGAACAATACCACCTGAGTATTAAACAATTATTCAATCTTTTTTAGGGAAACAGAACTCCATGAATACATCAGGAAGTTGTCTGGGATCCGAGAGATCCCAACAGAGGATGCAGATTCTGTGTGCCTGGGATTTGTTCAGGGAGAGGAAGAGGATCCCAGCCTCATTCTGACAATGCACCTGGCTGCTGATCCCACTGACAGAGTGTACCTGAAAGGAGCAGAGGTATGGCCAGTGTTTAAGTTGAAATGCATTTATCATTTGTATAAATTCTTGGTTCAGTGAGCAAGTGTGCCGAGAGATTTTTTAGCATTTAAAATTCTTACCATGTGTTTCAACAGATATACTAGTATTGTTATTTCCCCTTTTCTAAATAAAACTCTGTGAATTTAAAAATTTAACTTTGTATTATTGATACATGTATACAAGTCATATTAAATATTCCCAGTGTAAACAACTTCCACTTTTCCCAATAAACATGAAATGAACCTTATTGATTTTTTTTTTTTTTCTAATTACTTAAAATCATGGAATGTACATGTAAATATGCATATAATTTTTTCAAGTTGAAACTGCATTTTACATACAAACAAGGCTAAAAAAATATTTTTCACATTGATTTAGAAAAGGTTTGAAATATTTTAAGGTTAAATCTGGCAGTGGATATTATGTAAGTTCAGTGCTTATCTTTGCATTTTAGATTTACGGCTGAAAAAAGCACATTTTTAAAGAAAAAATGCATGAAAAAAGCTTCAGATTTCCTTATATTAGTTATTTTTTACAATGCGCTTAATTTTTTTTTTGCTTTTTTCTGTAATATAGTATGATTGTGATTTTTTGTTGTGATGTACTGTACATGTTTGTTTCCAACAGAGTTGAGTTCAGATTTATTTTGCATATATTGTCTTAAAAGTTTGACTATTCCCAAACAGACAAGACATATAAAGTCGTCCTGTGTTTCTGTTGTACTGTCAACACATGAATAGTTGTTGTAATTGCATATTAATGGTCCTATAACATAAAACATAAAAGAGCAATGGTGTTGAATGAAAGAATAAAAAGCATAGTACAAAACATTTAATAACCAGAGGAATATAAAGGAAAAATATAGAGCATGCCTTGTTTTACCTAAAACACATACTAGCTAAACTTTTAGATAATAATTATGTGTATACAATATGTACAGGTGAATGTCCAGTCACTGCCCACAGAGGAATTGATCAGAGTGGCCGTCCAGAAAAATGACCCCGTTTCCCTGGTTCGCTCACTAAGGGAGCTGTGGATTTCCTATCACCCTATTGTGTCGGAAGTCAAAAAGCTCTCAGAGAGGTATGATGTCAAAAGAATTATGGTGTAATGATAAAAAGGGATTTCCTGTTAAGTGAAGGCAAATTATTATATATCAGTAATCATAATGTAATTCTGATAATGATAATGTAATCTTGGTAGAAATTATGCATTTCTGGTGATAAGAATGTAAGTCCAGTAAAAACAATATACATGTTCCCGTAATTTAGGTAATAATATTCTACTGTTTTACAAGAGGTAAGGTCTAATGTTTGCAAGACAAATAATTCAACCAAATATGCATGTACAAATATGTGTATGACTTTGGGACGTGATAAACTACAAAGTATATTTTATATGGCCCTAAATCAAATTGTAAGATCCATCCATTTGTTAAATTTTTGTTTCACAATAGTTTCAGTACCGGTACTTTTAAATCAAAGGACATTAAATTATTTATATGAGATTGTTGACTGTGCGAAAATTTAGATTAAAAAAAAAAAATTAGCATCTTCTTGCGTTTGAATAATAATATCAAGATTAATTCTAACAATATGATGTTTTAATGATAACTTCTGTTAAATCTTACAAGATTATATTCAACAAATAAGAGGAATAGAATATTAAGACATCTGTGAGTTTTGGGATTTAAAACAGTTCAGAAAATTTATGATATAGGTTCATGAACATCAATGATCTTTTGAATTTTCTAGTTGACATTTGGCTAATACTAAAGCCAAGACCTTTTTTCCTTCAGGCATGCAGTTGATTGGATCCAAGAAGAGGGTGTGGTGAGGGTCCTTATGGGGAAAAGGGGGACAGTAATATGTACCTTGTCTGTACCCAAGACATACCCCCAGGAGGGTAGTGTTTCTCTGGTCAGTGTACATGGAGGATATGGAGAGGAAAACACTATGGATGTTGATGTTAGTATACTTGAAATACTTACAAAGTAATAGCCATAGATTTATACATGAATGAGGTCCAAGATTTTGTAATTTGTACATTTTTTTCTCTCTCTCCAGGAAACAGTAGAGAACAAAACACTACAACAATGGATAGACTATTTAGAGGCAAGATATGGACATTGTTGACAAAGCAGAGAGGAGGTTCTAAATACATGTACTTGTACCTGAACATTGTACATACTTCTAACATGTAGTACTTTAGCCTGTGTTAAACTCTTTCTAGAATTTATTATGGGTATTTTTGATGTAATTATTTCAATTGTAAATTAAACAAAATTTCTGTGTATACAGTCAATTCTCAAATTATCACCATTCGATTCATCGCCATTTTCGCAATACCACCATGATTTCCCAAGAACGTTTTTCCTACTATGTAAAATTCTCTTTATAACGCCAAATTCACATACCGCCATCTGCCAACCTGTTTTCACAACAAACATCCATTTTTAAGTGTCAATTATCTCATATACCGCCACAGGTGCATGCGGTCAATGAAGCGCGGCTAATTGGTAGATGCTGTCTGTTGTAACACTGCAAAGCCAGACAAGGTACATGCAAATAAATAATTTAATAAGAGTTAAATAAACAATAATTTTACTATGAACTGTTATAATGATTTTGTTCTCTGTTTAATAAAAATCATTTAGTCACGGCTTCGCCTTGAAAGCGATAGTTGTTAAAGTACGCTGAATACAATATTATGTTGATGATCTCTGCTTTAAACAATGCAAAGTTTGCTTTAGAAATAATTATATGGTATAAATTGTGAACGTTTCATATTTCACGACGATCGACCCAGCATGTTTTTTTTCAATATCAGACGTGCCGTTTTACATGCATACACATGTACTTGTCTTTATTGTACATAACAAAATTACTTAAGGTACTTTCAAATTTAGAAATGTTTTATATACATGTACATGTACATGTAATTATAAGAATAGAAACTCTAAATGGTACATGTATTTCTATATATATACTTGTTTCCTAAAATATGGGAAATTCAATTCATCGCCAAATTCGTTATAACGCCATGATTTCTAAATTACAAAAGGTGGCGGTTTATCAAGAATTAACTGTATTTCAAATTTGAAGATATATGTATATGCTAAAATTCTATTTAAAAAACAACAAAACATAATGTCACATTTTTTCCAATAGAAATTTAATATTATATAAACATAGGTAATCAGAGATTACAGAGCTCACCTCAACGAATGTTGTCTTTAAGTAAGGCAAAGTCACACAATTAACCAACAAAAAGTGTACATTCCAAAAATGAAAATATTTAAGCAATTTTGATCTGAATTACTTTGAAATAGACCTACATAAAAAAATTAAACTAGTTCTTCTTCATGAAAATGTAATTAAAATCCAGCATCTGAAGCAAATTTGAGTTTTCATCTCTTGATGCAACTTTTGTGCAAGTTTGGTTTATACAATGTTAAATAAGCCTTATAGTTTTTTTGGTAATAGACCTGCACCCGTAACTTTTACCTGGTCTATTATCTGAAAAATGTATGTCGAATTCAGCATCCGAAGCAAGTCCATTAGTGTGCATCCTAAGATGTATCGTCCATGCAAGTTTGCTCATTATAGGGCTCATAGTTTATTGGAAATAAAACATGCATCAAAAACTAACATTAAATTTCACTCATCCACAAAAAGTAGGTCAGATTCAGCATCCCAAGTAAGCCTGGTAGTATGCATCCTTAGATGTATCATCCATGCAAGTTTGGTAATTAAAGAACTCATAGTTACTTGGAAATGAAACCTGCACCAAAAACTTTAACCTGTTCACTCAACCGGAAAATGTAGGTCAGATTCAGCATCCGAAGCAAGCCAGGTATTATGCATCCTTAGATGTATCATCCATGTAAGTTTGGTAATTAAAGAACTCATAGTTACTTGGCAATGAAACCTGCACCAAAAACTTTAACCTGTTCACTCAACCGGAAAATGTAGGTCAGATTCAGCATCCGAAGCAAACTCGGTAGTATGCATCCTTAGATGTATCATCCATGCAAGTTTGGTCAACATAGGACTAATAGTTACTTGGAAATGAAACCTGCACCAAAAACTTTAACCTGTTCACTCAACCGGAAAATGTAGGTCAGATTCAGCATCCGAAGCAAACCCGGTAGTATGCATCCTTAGATGTATCATCCATGCAAGTTTGGTCAACATAGGGCTTATAGTTACTTGGAAATGAAACCTACACCAAAAACTGCACCAAAAATGTTAACCTGCCCCAAAAACATTAACCTGGTCATTCCTTTGCTGAAATTTCAGCATCTGAAACTTTGACTGGTTCAATGAAACACAATAGAACCGTCTTTCATGCATGTCTAATCAATATAAGACATAGAAGTACTTAAAAAGAAAACTGCTCCAAAAAACTTAACCTGGGACGCCGACACCGACGCCGACGGGGACGCCGAGGGTATTACATAAGCTCCCCCAACTTCGTTGAGGTGAGCTAAAAATTGATTTCAAATACAGGCAATCACTTCAATGTAAATATCATTTTCACACATTGGTTAGAAAATTGTTGATCTGAGATGTACATATTCATGTATTATAATAAATATTTATCACAACATAAATAAGCTTGGTTTCATGAGCTATACTTAAAGTCAGAATCGAGTTGGTTAATTTTATTGGATCAGAATAATTTATGACAGTTTCTGATCCTCATAAAGAGTTCATATTGGTCACTATGTTAATACACAATTCCAACTGCATACAAATGCAGTAATAATCGTTTTAGTAGATATTGCGTATTCATGAACAAAATTATTCATAGCAAAATTATCTTGGATCCCCAGCTATATAAATTTAACGATTCCCTATATGAATACTGGGTATATCAAATTACATAGTGAAGAAATTTCCTAGGTCCCAGTGACTTCATTATAACCAAGTATTACTACACAGATATCCACAAGCAATGCATTATACAGTCAAACCTTGTTATGTCAAACTTGATGGGGTCAAGAAAAAACAGATATCCCAGGATTCAAAATACATGTATATATGGTAAAATACTAAGAAATATGACGTGTAATGGGGATTTTAATATTTGAGATGTCTGTGTTCAAAATCCCGAAGTTCAATTGTATTTCATGGACAATTAATTTACATTGCTTTTCTGCTTTGGGTTCTCAAGTCTGCTCTGACAGTTCTAAAAAATATTGATTGATCAGCTAATTATCAAGACAGCTTCTCATCAAGATAACTCTAATAAGCAAGGATTTCAATTTTTTGTTCTTATTGTCACATTTTGATGTAAGTGGAGAGAAAAAAAAGCAAATGATTTATCATGTATACTAGGGAAAATTTTGTATCGCGATATATCACCATTTTTTTCCCAAAATATCACGATAACATCATGATATTTTTACAAGGAATTTTTACAATGATTTTGAATGAATTGTCATAATTTTTCTTAAAAATATGCCAGAAAAACAAAAATTTAACTTTTTTGAAATGTTGATGTACATAAAATTAATCATTTTTGGATGGTAAGATGCTGTTCTTTTCACCTTTTACAACATTTTTTAGACTTTCTATAATTGTAATTTGAAAGATTGAACAAATAAATGAATAATTTCTGGACTTTATAATATGTAACTTAAGGCCAAAGTTTTTTTTTTCTTGGTTTACGATTCCGCCGACCCTATTTTTCCCTATTTACAAAAATAAAAATAATGTGTCTGACTCTAGAAACTGGACCCTTAATCCGAAATTTTCTCGACCAAACGACAGTTTTTATAATTTACAACACAGATTGTCAAACCACATGGCTGGAAAGCGCAAGGATCAACCTAGGGGGCGACTCGCTTACAGACTGTTTCTGTACTATTAATGACCAGTGCATCGAATACTCCGTCGGAACTCCTCTCGATTTTACACTTCCATCGTTACAAGATACACAAGCTGGACAGCTATCGATGTCATGCCAAAGATGTTGGGGAAGATTTTAGATCTTTTTATTGTCAAATAATTAATTCATGCTGTGAATACAGACATATTGTGAAGTTATTAACTTCTTCAGAAGTCGCACATCGGATCCGATAAACTTAAGTGTAGTTTAATCGGTATGCAGAAGTGCCTCAAAACTTTTATTAGAAAATAAATTTTATATTTAAAACAAAGTTTGAAGAGAAATTAACAAAATTATGACTATGCCAAAAGTCTGGAAATTTAAATAAGAAGAGAAATTTTCGAAGTTCAAGGTCGTGCTACTATGTAAGAAATGAAAAAAAAGATAAACAATTAATCTGATAAGAAACTTTTACATTTTAATTGTAGTACACGTATTAGTAAATTTTATTTAATGTCAATGTTGTTTTTTCTAGATATTTATATATTGTAATTGGGGGAAATTTCTTTTAAGATTCTTTTTCTCTTATTAAATCATTTTAAATACAATGTTTATACAGAAAAAAATTATAGAAATGTTTGTAATTTATAAACAATGAAATAGTTTTATAACGATTAATGTGTGCCACATATGCGCCAAGAAGTCTCGATCCCTAAATTTCAAAACTTCTCCCTAAATTTCTTTGATGGAGATCGAAATGTCTCCTTAAATTTTGGGTCTGGGTTAATTGGTCCCTGCATGGACACACGTATCTTATTTAAGGTAAAAGTCTGTTGTGAAAGCAGTCCATGACTTTCCATGACAGAGTTTCCAAAAACTTTTTCATATGTGGAAAGGTTGACCAGAGAATAGCAGATTCACTTAATTTCACCCGTGCAATGTGTCTATCATGGAAACTCGGACTTGTAAGTCAGAAGAATGAAAACCATCAACAGTAACAAGGCATCTGAATACATTTCAATGCTACCGGAGAAAAAAATATGTCAAGGTTCCAAATTATTTTTATTTTTATTTTTCGACGGCCCAAAGCATATTTTTGTGTCAAAAAATCGTAAACCAAAAAAAATAAAAACATTGGCCTAATACCGGTATTTAGGTCTCCGTATCACGATACGTATCACGCAACAAAAGATTGCGATATACCGGTATACTGATAAAATCGCACATCTCTAATGTATACACAAAGAGACAGGAAATACAGCTAATGAATGCCCATATAAGTGAAAAAATTAATTCCCAATTAGAATCCAATCTTGGTAAAAATATCTTGTAAAAAAATAAAATTAAAAAGGATGCATATGTAAAATGTTAAATCAATCTACAGAAGAAAAACTCATTATAGCTTAATTACTGTAGATCACTAAATTTTCGCGACATCTTATATTCGCGAGATAGTCATTGACTCTTGATTAGCGAGACAAAATTTTCGTGAATTGTGGTTATTGCTCTATATAATCTTAAGGAATACTACTATACGCGAGAATTAAATTTTCACGAGTAAAATAAAGTTCTCGCGAAAAAAAAGTGATTTACAGTACTTAAAATTTTTGGCCTCAAATAATAATGCTCTCAATTTCAACTAATGCCACATATTCAGATTTTGTATGTTTGCATGCTTTTGACAAATTTGAGAATTCATACCTACATCTGACAAATCCAAATTCAATATTTAAGAAATGTTTACAAACCCTTAACTCCTTTTCTGAAAGATTGAAAATTTCAGTACACATTTTTATATTAATCCTAATAATTTCACAAGTCCTTAGTTCACTCATGGATGTCTGACAAACTCAGTGTGTGTGTTTTTTCCTGTTTTATGAGCTCTACGCAGCATTGTCTCTCACTCTCCATTTGAAATTATAAATCCTAATTTTTTTTTTCATCTTTTGACCAATCACATAAGCCTTTTTATAACATTCAGCGTCAGCTGCTTACCAGTACTTTCTGTTTACTTTTTATGTAAAATTATGAAAGCTGAAATATGATTAGTGGTTGGAAATGAGAGGAGCTGCCCCCCCCCCACCCCTGTGAAATTTGTCAGAGGTCTTATGGTCACAAGTGAACTTGAACACATGAAGTTGTGAACATGATCTACATGTATGTTAGAAAATATAGACGATGAAAAATCAAACAATTGTACAAAGAAGTCAAATTCAGTAGAGACATATATGCACTTGTTCCCTATATAAAATCAAGTACTGATAGTATATTTTATCTACTTAAAGTAGACTTTTATGTCCAGGGGGTGAAATATAGAGTTGTCCATTTTCTGCCTAAACAGCTGTGTGTGTTGCCAGGCAACATCCCCTTTTCCTCCACTCAACATGGCTGTCAGTGTCATTTCGTCTGCACCAGAGAGGTCACTGTATGATGTTACTTCTGGGGCACCTGAAATAGCAGGTCCATTGAGAATTTAAACAGGAAAACAAAACAAAGAAACAGAGATACTTCACAGAAACATAAGTTATCCCCCTTCAAAATCTTCAGGAAGTTCGAAATGAAATCAATTTACAAACAGAGATGGATCTACTGCTGCTCATAAGCATTTATGCACAATTCCTAAAACATGATCAGAAATTTAGTCAGTGTTTGACATTTCATACAAATATATTCATGTCAAACATTCAACTTTCTTATAGTACAGATGTACAAGAAGAAAATTTCCATGAGTTCTGAATCTGTAAAACACTTTATGGTTGCTCCAATGGCAATATGAAAATTTTAACCCCCTCCCTTCATTGAATCATTATCCCAATAATATATTTGAATCAGGATTAATAAGGATTGTTAGAACCATTTTCAGTCAGGTTTTGGGGTAAAAATTATCTGACATCAAATAGCCTGGTCCAAATAAATGCCTATAAAGTCTATTTGATCTTTCAAAAGAAAAACTCAAATCTTTATTATTACAACGTACATAAATGTAGAACTGGATTAAACCTATAAGAAATTCTTACCGGTCAACATGGCACACTGGTTTTTGCTACAAAGACGCCATGATATAACACCATCCTCAAAAGTTTGACTAGATGTACAGATCTCAATTCTGTCAATTTCCATTCCTTAAAAAAAATCCATCAAATTTTTAGGTGAACTGTCTAATACAGACACCAATAGTTCCAAAAATTGGCCTACATTTTAAACAATTGACTTTACTAAAATGAACTAAAAATTCCCATCATATAAGCCAAGATTTCAGATTATACAACACCAGGATTAGACAAGTTTCACTGTACTTTTCTAATGCATAATTCCAGCTAATGTCCAACTCACCAGAGAAATCAAATTTCCAGGAGATGGCCGCCGTGGCTGACCCCTCTGTTCTGGCTAAATACACCATCTTCCAGTCCCTCTCTTCCTTCCTAAATATATTCTGTTGTTTGTTTACGCAGGCTGAGTATGATTTTGTCACCTCCCCATTGTTGGAAAGTCTTGTATACTCATCCTTGGTACAACTGTATTTGATGTGGAAGATCTTGGCCTCCCTTTCTTTATCAGTGAGTTTAAATATATAGGGCTCGGTGTTTGATGATGACTGGGACCCTGTCTCACCTCGAGCTAGTCGCCAGGCTAAAGATCCAGTGGTTCTTCCTAATAAATGTTAATTGTTTGTTAATCAAAAAGATTTCTTCAATATGCATTTCTATTTTCAAACAATGTTTAATTTATACACTCAGATATTTGTTTGTAATTGAACACTTTAAAGTTAGCTTGCCAACTTATAGCTATTAAAAGTATTATTCACATTTTTCATTTTGTGAGGCTCTATTAAAAAGTATGATGAATCCTGAAACCCGATATTCACAATCATTTATATGTACATGTATACAGAAACTTATACAGATAAATCCCATGCATTAGATAGGAAGACAAAAATCAATATAGATAGGCCCCTATTAACACAGAATATATACTATAAATTGATAGCAAGTTATATGATGTACTACTTGGCAATAAATTGGGGAAGAGGGGAAGGTCCTACAGAAAGCAAATTTATGAACCAGGTATCATTATTTCATTTGAAATAAATATAATTATAACATTTTATAAGTAATTCCTACATTTTTATTTTTACCTGACAAATTTTGTCCTGCGCTGGATTTCGGAGTCATGAACTCCACTAGTTCTGTCAGCAGCCTCTTTTTCATTTCCTCATTTCTCTGCGGTGAATTACTTGGTTCTCTAGCTTTCCATAACCTATGGATAACCTGCACTAGCCAAGACTCCCGGCATTCATTTCTTCTATTCAGCATTTCAGAATGATTAGCAGAATACCTCCATGAAACATCTTGAACTTCATCTTTGGAAAATGCTAAAACATATGTCAGTTTTTTGCCCCAGCCTACTTCATACAGGAGAGGCTTATCACAGACATTCTCACATGGATCACAGTGCAGCCATCTTTTCTGGACTTCCGAATAAACCTCAGTCCAGACGTGGTCAGTCCAGTCCAGCACGTATCTGGCCTCGAAACCGACCGCTCTGCAGCAGAGAGTGAAACAATTGGCCCACTCCCCACACCTCCCACAGCGCGTCTCCAGCAGCTTCTCGGGGTGGTTGTACCGGGGAAATCTCACAAACTTTTGGCACTGGTTGCATTTATAGTTCTCTACCCTGTTGGCCTGCCAACGTAGTTCCTCGGGAGTGGGTTCTACCATCCCTTCATTCCTTGTCTCCCCACCACAACCATCACATTTTGGTGCATCCACCCAGCTGAAGAAGGAATTCTTAAACCAGGACAGTAACCCCAGTAACATGAGGTCTCTAAAGTCAATGCTTGCCAGGGCTGAGCTGTCTTCTTTCTTTATTGTTTCTAATTTATCGTGAGCTTCTTTCTTCAAGGTTTCCAATGGAATTACGGATCTTGCTTTCTGCTGCAGTCTAGGATCTTCATACAACAAGACATGGACAAGGTTGCTTTCTATTTTGGTGAAGAATCTCCTTTCCATTTGCTGAAATAGCAAAATTAAGAAAAAGTGTGAAAGAAATTTAATATTATAAGGTCCTTAACTTTGAAAAATTCATAAAGCTTGTATTTTTTTAGCAATCATAGTTCAAAACTACACTGACATTGCATTTTGTAAATAAATAAAACATTTTAGGTGATTTGAGATGCTGGTGAGTTGTCATTAAATAAAACATGAATAAACAAATAAATTATCTCATGGAATTATTTAGTTTACATGATATGATAAATAAGGATTTATCATGTTTATAATAATATTTTATCTCAAAATTAATTTAACTATTGCTATTTCAAATATGGTGAGACTGACAAGATAGCTCAGTTTTACATCCAAAAGTTTATCTGTTAATATAAGAAATACAAATTAATAAATGTACATTTATCTCTTGTTGGGACTTGTTTTGCAATGGATTTGGTGCTGTCCTGGAAGAAATGGGTGTTTGGGGTGATGAATTTGGTTTCGCCACGGAGGGAGGTGGTTGCTGAGGAGTCCCTGAAGCTGCAGGCTGCGAATTTGAAGGTCCATTAACTTGTCCCACTGATTTTATGTATTTATCCAACTCAGAGCGGATTTCTCTGATTGTTGCCAATGGCGTGTTTTGAGGTAGAGTCAAGAATTCTCCATCCTGTAATGATATTGATAAGAATGAAATCTTAGACTAAATAGGCACATACCATTTCATGAGTTAATTCAACTTTTCCACTTGGCAAGCAGAGTTTTGATACTGTTTACCTAGATACAAGAAAATAAAGACAAACATCCATTATATAAATTATCATAGAAGGCAGTGGTAATGAAGGTTTTATCAGTGCCTTTTCTCTGAAGGTGTAAATAAATGCAATTCTGGGGAGGGGGTTATCCATGTAATCAGGAGTTGGATATACTGTCATAAATATTGGGTTTTTTTCCGAAATAAATGCCCGTTTCCCAGGGCTTGGTATTGATCTACATGAGTTTTACTGTATTAACAACAGAATTTATCTGACATGTACGGATTATGGAAAAAGAAATCCACAAAATAAAAAATAATGCTTATTACTTCTACAAAGCCCATCTCAAATAAACACTCCAGTGCCCCAACCACTGGGATAAGTTTAGACTCCACCGTTGGGTTCCCAAGTCGTATTTTGCGATACTTCGATTCATTTGGGTTATTTATTATATTGTCTGCAAATTTAGTCAATATTTTGGCTGCATCCAGAAATTGTTGCTCCGAATTTTCCTCCAAAAGTTGTTTGACAGTTGTAAACACAGGGGCCATGTCTGATAACGGAAGTAGTGAATGTTGACGTTGCATATTAGATAACTTGTTCTTAAAAGTATGCCAAGGATAAAAGAAAAGTGGCAATACAGTGTATCATAAATTACGATAATTTAAAGAGTGGGAAAAACTCTGTAGAAATCAGTTATTTGACAGTGTTCGTGTTGTCTAAGATATAGGCTTCTTTCGTGCGATATTTCACAATTAAGATACGAATACACTACTGGACGATTTGTTTAAAAAAGTTTTGTTTACAACATGGCGGCAATAGTCAAGGAGGTGAAGAAACTTGCAATATTTTTACCGATTTTTGTGATTATTTTGTGAAGGGTTGTTTTAATTGACTCTTATTTATCAATATTTGCACTCTGTCTATGTATTAATTCTATTTTTAATAATGTCTTGATTGCTTTTTCCTTGTGCTGCCATTGCATTTGCTGATTAAATGGATGGGTGACAAGTTTCAAGTTCACGATTCAATTGACAGGCTTCAGTATAACACTTCTTTGTCAAAAAATGTTCAATCTTTTTAAACACTTTTAAACTTATTTCAGTGAAAGTAATTTACTCTTAGGCAGAAACCATGAGAAGGCATTTGGGATAAATATAAACATTGTGATGTTTGGGGCTGTGGCATAGGTAGCTGTTTGCAGAGCACCTGACCAGTGATGCACTCTGCTACAGGGGTCCTGGGTTCAATTCTTTATTTCCTATGAAGCTTGTAACATGAGTTTTGATTGGTTAGCAAATCAGCTGTAAATTTTGGTACAGGCCTAGAAAAAAATTATGTTTCTTTCCTGTAACCAGACCGACTCATTCAAATTACCCCTGGGTGGATTTTTTTTTCTGCCAAATGTCAAAACTGAGTTTGATCAATCAGCTGATTCCATTTATTCAAAAAAAAATTAATTGTACATAGCTTAACTTGAGACATAAAATATGTCAAAATAGTTAACATTTACCTTAAATATAGAAAGAGTAATCATTACTGTAACATCAATTTCCCAGCACAACTTTTTGAAGTTCGTTTTCTGCGGATAGGCAGCCATGTTGGGTGTCCACTGTAAATATAACACTTAGTTTATTCAGTCTGGGGATGTTTGACCATTAATAAGCAAAACAAAAAATTTAAATAAAAAATTTTTAAAAATCCTGACCTACCGACACTTGAATTTTTTTTGAATGTTACAGGAAAGAAACATATTATTTTTTTAAGCCACATCAGACTTTGAGTTGGAGGTAAATAACATGACATCACAATGCATAGTCTCTCAATATCAAAAAGCAATTAATATGACGTAACAATGTCACATAGTACATAATTGCAAGGCTCAACACTAACTTTTTTAGGCCTTAGTCCAGCCGGACTAGTGCTTCTTTACTTTTACTAGTCCGCGTGCAATTTTATGAGTCCGTCCAAAAAATAAATAAATAAATAGAATAAACATTGCAATGTTAATTTTATACTCTTTTTTTCAATAAACAAAGCATTAACGTGAAATGTTTTATTCCAAGATTTGTTGAAATCTTGCAATCAGGAACTACCATTATATATTCACAATCTCATTCATTTTTCTGTGTACATGATTACATCATCCAGACATCTGGCATCTTCTTTATGTGTCATACTAAATCATGATTGCTAATGTGTTTTATTTCGTACTAATGAGTCCTAAATTACAAATTTACTTGGAATAAGCTAACTTCCCACAAAAAAGCCAGAAAGCTAAAAATACATACAGGGTTTTCCAGTGAAAATTGTCGAGAATTGAACATCTGTAAATTATTTATTTAAGAAAATTTTATTAGTCTGAGACTAAAGGACTAACATTAATGTCGAACCCTGTAACTGTAGTACAATATGTATGTAATAATTTGAAATACCACTGATAAGCCTTAGGTGTACCTTTGGTCTAAAAATTTACTAAAGAAAACTTGCAGTTTTCATTATCATTAAAGGTACATGTAGCAGTGCTCGAGCTGTGATTCGCCATTGTCGCCAATTGCGAATTTTTTTCAAAAGTGGCGAAAAGAAATTCATAAGTGGCGAAAATGATTTTTTTAGATGTACCATGTACAAAATTTGTGTAGTCCTGGTTAGCTCCTTTGTTTATTCAATGTACCTGGTATACAGATAAGTCCCTTTGTTTATTTAATGCAGCAGAGGTGTGAAAACTGAAACCTACATGTAGGAAATGGGTGCGTATCATTACCGCTACATTTTCAAAAATTTCATTACCGCTACATAGTCATTACCGCTACAAAAAACCTTACATTACCGCTGCATAAAAAAGTATACATTACCGCTACATTGCCTCTTTGGTTAGCCAGTCACTTCTGTGTGTACAGTACAACCTATACATGCATAAGACCCCTTTCCCCTGCCCACCAAGGGAAGGTGAAAGTAGGACTTTGAGCAGGATGTTTTTTAATTATTATTATTAAAATCATTTTTTTTTCATAAAACACAAAAAAAATAAAATCAAGCGCTGTTTATAGATAAAATTCTACGTTTTTTCATATGTTTTTACACTATCGCTAAAGCCTTGAAAGCCATTTGCTTGACATATTGTTGTTTTCTAAATTTATAACCATCGATAAGTAAGGCGGCATTCCCTCGATTTGTAACAACTTCTCAATTGTGGTCATAATTAAATGATTAAATAATTAAATTTCGACTGTAGAGTAATTTATATATATATATTCTACGTTTATGTATATATATATATATATATATATATATATATATATATATATATATATATATATATATATATATATATATATATATATATATATATATATATATATATATATATATATATATATATATATATATATATATATATATATATATATATATATATATATATATATATATATATATATATATATATATATATATATATATATATATATATATATATATATATATATATATATATATATATATATATATATATATATACTCATCCTGATTAAATTGTGAGTGAATTCTGTTGATTAGAACTCATATACCGAACCATACCTGGCTAAATCGATATGTAGCGGTAATGAGTTATTTTTTGGCCGGGAAAATGTAGCGGTAATGATCGGTCCAAAATCTGAAAAAATGTAGCGGTAATGAGTTGAAATTTTTGGCAATGTAGCGGTAATGTTGAACTCCCTAGGAAATCATGTCTCGCTTGAACGAACACAGCTGACTAGGAAACTATCCTGGAGCAATAAAGGGTTACAAAATTGCTGGAAGTAAAATAATTTGGATTAAACAAGGGGAATAAAGTGTTTTTAGGAGCTGAAGTTCGTAAATAAAAGATTTTTATCAACAAAATCTGGATCTATGTAGATCGTTTTTTTTTTACCGAAAATAGGGAAACATGACGAAAATTGTAAAGAATAGCTTCAAATTTTACCTATTAAAAATTGAAAATGTGTACATTATACAATGTGTACCATAAACTGACAAAGAGTGAAAAAGAAATTGGTTTGGAAACAGAATTATCTTAGTAAATTACACTGAGTTATTTACAATTACATGAGCTTGCATATAATTAAACACTGGAGTCTCCAAGTTGTTAAAATAAAGTCAAGTTTTGAACCTAATTTTCATTACTTTGTAATTAAGGTCTTCCGTCTTCAGCGGACGACCTTCTTGTTATTCATTGGTTTCTTTTCCACTGTTTTTCTTATTATTGTTTTTCCTACCGATTTTGTGCACGCAATTTCTCAAAAACGGCTGGTTATATTTTTATGAAACTTGATGCATTCTTTTTCATTTTGATGGCGTCACTTCCGGTTCGAAGATTTTCGCAATTTTGTGATTTTTAAGGGTCAGTTTGTCCGTCGCTCTTCTTAATAACCGCTCATCACAGGAAGATGAAACCTTTTCTGGAAGATAGAGCAACATATGTAGATTTGCATTGTGTTGTTAACTTTCACCGGAAGTACTGCACGTTAACGTTCAGTAGGGTCTGAAAAAAGTCATACTGAGCGTTTCAAAATTTCTAACACCTTTTGTATTATATCGTTTTACTTGTAAATATTTTGTTAAAACATATAGAACAAAAGTTGTGAAAAATTTTGAGATCTTTAAAATGATACCTCGAAAAAAGGGCTGGCCCCTAAAATTAAAGCCCTAGAGGGGCCACAAGTTTTTCCTTTATATCTCAAAAAGTATTGAGAATTTATAATACGTCAAAGAAGCAAAGTTGTTCAAAATGTCAAGCTTAATCTATTGGAGTTTTCGAAAAACGTCCGGCGACGTCACTTCCGGCCAAACCGGAAGTAGTCGGAAAACGCGTATTTCTGCCGTTCTTGACAAGTTTTTTAAACAATATCTGTCACTGGGAGCATAAAAATTATTTTTCCGTCCGTCGACGTCACTTCCGGTCAAACCGGAAGTGGCAAAAAACTGGCTTATTTTTGCATAAATTAACATATACTTAGAGGATTTAAACCATTTTTTACTCATTTTCGTAAAAATGAAAGCTACTTCTGGTCAAACAGGACGGAAGACCTACTCGTTGCTTTGCAACGAGCTTTGCTCTAGTTATACTTCTTTTATCACTTTCCTTGATTAATGAAATGATTAAAAATTCCATTTTTAAAAAATGTCATATATATTTACTAGGTCTGTACCCCCCCCCCCTTTCCCAGGCAAAAAAAAATATATTACATATATAAACAAGAGGAAATTTTCTGTCAAGAGTTGGCTGATATCAATTCAATATCAAATTAATTGTATAAATGGATACTACCATAAGCTTTAAACATTTCAATTTTAAATCAATGTCTGTGATAAAGATAATTTAAAAAATTGAATAACGTAAAGTGCATTGCATTGTCGAGAAATCAGATGTAAGGATGCCTTAAATTTCCTTTTGTCGCTAAAAGTGGCGAAAAGTATTTTCGGTACAGTGGGACCCCTGACCTGTAGCTACTATCAAGCCAATATAGTGCTGTACCAGTGCACAATTAAAAAGTAGCTGAGCTTTATGAAATTACAGGTTATCTGCAATTTAACGCTTTAGGTTTTCGTAAAC